CAAATTACCAGCAGTTGGCATTGATCTTGGTACAACATATTCGTGTGTCGGGGTCTTTCAGCATGGCAAAGTGGAGATCATTGCCAACGATCAGGGCAATAGGACCACGCCCAGCTACGTCGCCTTTACGGAGTCGGAGCGTCTCATTGGTGACGCGGCCAAAAACCAGGTGGCCATGAATCCAAATAACACAATCTTTGGTGAGTCCCACTTATTGCTAATCACTTGATGACCTAAATCATGAATGAAAAACACGCGCAAGCTAAGGCTCTTTTATTTTGTTGAGGATTTTATTTTGAGACTTGTACATACATACACATATGTTATATATGTGTATATATAATATATATGTATATTATATATATATATATATATCGCATGGTTAGTTCTTGGCTGCTCTTGCATACAGCCAGCTAAAAGTATTTGCCCAAAATGTATTTTTGCACTTTTCACTCGACCTCCTCCGCGTCGTGCTCTCCCTTTCATTCTTCTAATGAGTCGCATTCACTTGTTGTGTCAGTTCACTCGTTGCATGCCACCGCCCGCTGCCAAAATGTTTATTAGCATAATCTGTGTCAGCGCATTTCATGGTTCCACCTCAACTGTGAGCCAATACGAAAATGTTTACAAATAGATTATTTACATGACAATATTTACAAATTGACTTTGCTCTGGCGGCATATTAGCTTTTAACTAGGCCAACATATGTCTGAAGAACTCAAGAGAGCAATAGATTATCTCTATTGATTTACTTGGACCTTTAGCTTCTTTATTGGGTGAAAATAGACTGAGATGGAAGCCAAATGGAATATCTTAGCAATTATATTCTTCCAAATAGAATTGGTATTCAAAATTCCATTCTCTTTTCTTACAGCTATGTATATTCCTTTATTTATATGCATTTCCTACTCTCATTTGATTTCCATAATCTCAGATTATGATATATATATAATAATTGAATTATAATGTCTGGCATCCTTTTGCTTCGTAGAATCATGAATGAATGAATCACAATCTTGATTCTCATTGCTTTCTATCCAAACTTTCTCTTCCACTTTCTTTCTCTCCCTGTTGTGTTAAGCATTATTTAGTTTGAATTAAAACTCGATGCGTTTGCAGCTCTACAAGAAGAGCTCTCTTCCATTAGATTTTGTGCGGGTCTAATGCCACATGTTTGACATGTTTTCTTTTTTTGTACTTTCATTTCAGTCTCAGAGTCCACATAAATCTGCCTTGCCCCGCAAACCCGCCTAGCCTAAGCCTAGACCTGCGCCTAGTTACGATACACAATACGCTTAGTACAATTTGTAAAAAATAAAAACAAGCCCCGTCCTCAGATATTCTGTTCGTTAGTTAATAAAGATAAAGAAACGAAAAGCCCCAAAATTGAGATGTGTGTCCACTTATTACTCTGCCTGGGACTCTCTTACAGATGCCAAGCGGCTGATTGGACGTAAATTCGACGACCCAACGGTGCAGAGCGACATGAAGCATTGGCCCTTTGAGGTCGTCTCGGACAATGGCAGGCCCCGCATCCGGGTGGAGTACAAGGGAGAGAAGAAGAGCTTCTATCCGGAGGAGGTGTCCTCCATGGTGCTAACAAAGATGAGGGAGACCGCCGAGGCGTATCTGGGTGGTACGCTTACCGATGCCGTTATCACTGTGCCCGCCTACTTCAATGATTCGCAGAGGCAGGCCACCAAGGATGCGGGCGTCATAGCCGGACTCAATGTGCTGCGCATCATCAATGAGCCAACGGCGGCGGCCATTGCCTACGGCCTGGACAAACAGGGCGGCAGTGAACGGAATGTGCTGATCTTTGATCTGGGCGGCGGCACCTTCGATGTCTCCGTGCTGACCATCGAGGATGGCATCTTTGAGGTGAAGGCCACGGCAGGCGACACCCATTTGGGTGGCGAGGACATCGACAATCGCATGGTCAATCATTTCATGCAGGAGTTTCAGCGCAAGCACAAGCGAGATCTGAGCCAGAATAAGCGCGCTCTGCGACGCCTGCGCACGGCTTGTGAGCGGGCCAAGCGCACGCTCTCCTCCTCCACGCAAGCCAACATCGAGATCGACTCGCTCTTTGAGGGCATTGACTTTTACACGTCTTTGACGCGAGCTCGCTTCGAGGAGCTGAACGGAGATCTGTTCCGGAGCACCATGGAGCCGGTGGCCAAGGCGCTGCGGGATGCCAAAATGGACAAGGGTCAGATACATGACATAGTCCTGGTGGGTGGCTCCACTCGGATACCCAAGGTGCAGCGCCTGCTGCAGGACTTCTTCAATGGCAAAGAGCTGAACAAGTCCATCAATCCGGACGAGGCTGTGGCCTATGGGGCTGCCGTTCAAGCGGCCATACTGCACGGCGACACATCCGCCGCTGTGCAAGATCTGCTGCTGCTCGACGTGACTCCACTCTCGCTGGGCATCGAGACGGCGGGCGGGGTGATGACGCCGCTGATCAAGCGCAACTCCACCATACCCACCAAGCAGACGCAGACGTTCACCACCTACGCGGACAATCAGCCGGGCGTCCTGATACAGGTGTACGAGGGCGAGCGCGCCATGACCAAGGACAATAATATTCTCGGCAAGTTCGAGCTATCGTCCATACCGCCTGCACCGCGTGGCGTGCCCCAAATCGAGGTGACCTTCGACATCGATGCCAATGGCATACTCAATGTGAGTGCAGCCGAGAAGTCCACGGGCAAGGCGAATCGCATAACCATTACGAATGACAAGGGTCGGCTCTCCAAGGAGGATATCGAGCGTATGGTCAATGAGGCAGAATCGTATCGCCAGGCAGACGATGAGCAGCGCCAGCGCATTGATGCCAAAAACCAGCTGGAGTCCTACTGCTTCCACATTCGATCCACGCTGGATGATGAGCAACTGCGCAGCCGCATTAGCGATACGGACCGCCAGACGATTGTCCAGAAGTGCGATGAGACCATCAGCTGGCTGGATGCCAACCAGCTGGCCGAGAGGCAAGAGTTCGAGCACAAGCAACAGGAGCTGGAGCGCATCTGCAATCCCATTATGACCAGGCTCTATCAGAGCGCGGGCATGCAGCCGCCCCCTGCTCAAGCCTCTGGCGGCGGTGGGAGTGGCGCCGGCGGACTAGGCGGCGGGCCAACCATCGAAGAAGTCGACTAAGCTATCCCTTAGCATACTTTCAAGCGCCTCTCAGCTTGTTGCAATCTGTTTGTTACCCCTAGCTAAATTATAGAGTATTTCAATAAATTTTCGATGCGCAACGAAATATATTTTTAAATCAATTAAAATTGGTGAAAATATTGGAAATAAAATAAATTAATAAGTCGTGAAGTGGAATTTCTCTTCAAATTCTTAAAAATTAAAAAATTTATACCCATAGAAGACTTGACGATCAATGAAGTCAAAGAGAGGAAAATTGTCAGAGTATATAAATAATATAAACATGGAAAATGTTATATTTATTTAAATACACTTACAATTTTGAAGTATCTTGCAAAATAATTTCATTTGCTAATTGTAGAGTACTTAAATTTTTCAAATAAAATATTTATAAATAAATTTTTTTATTAGACTTTATTTTCAAACTTATTTACTATTTCACAATATTACGGAGTCTGTCTGCCATTTCACGTACTATATGAATGCTAGGGTATTTCAGGCTATCTCGATAGCAGCAATTGGCATTATGAAAGTTAGGCAAAGGAATGTTGAAATGAAACGCAAAACAATGGAAACGAAACTGAAGTCGAGCAAACAGATTCTGAAACTGGAACGACGGAATCTAAGAGATTTTAAATAAAAGAAAATAAAATCAAATATATGTATAATGGGAATTTTGAATAGAACATATACATATATATACATAAATAAGTATATGTGAGTGTACGGGAATTATGTATTCCTCAACTGTTTGTAATTGCACAATTTGGATATGTAACAACTTCCTAGAGTAGTTTGGGAGATATTTAACAATAGACAATCGCAAACATAAATACATATCGAGTATATATAGTATATATGTATGTATATTTTAGCAGAGCTGTCAACATAGGGACTACAAGTAAAATAGTTCAACGTTGGCAAAGTCAAAGGAAATGTTTTTGAACAACCTTTCAGGCAAATACTACATATCAGTTAATATATGGTATAATTATAGTAATTGGATAGTATTTGGTTTATAGTACATACGTTTCGGTTATTGTATTCAGTTTGAAACTCCTCTGTGGAAAATGCATAAATTATACAGATGTATTCGCAACTGGCTCAAGGTATATCTGATGTATTCATATTTATGTGCCATAGGCTTATCATTAACACTAATATTTGTCTCTATAACTGACGACTTCACTAATTATTTCGTAGATAATACAGATACGATTTGTACAACAAACACCGCAAAAGCTTTCAAATCATATATACTATAAATATATGTATATTCCTATAGCTAAAGAGCCATTCAATTCATTCAGTTAGCACATGTACACATACATATATATGTGATATATACATTACATTTGACTATATGAAATTTATATAAACATAAAATCAACAAGGGATTAGTAGAATTTTGTATAGATTTGCTTTTACCTAGACATTTTTTGGGTCAACCAATGCTATTCATAAATCACCTATTTAATACTCTATGTATAATTAGATGAGTAGTGTCATTATTTCTTTGTTCTTTTTCTTTTTAGTTGGTATACCATATAATACCATAATGTATAAATTGTATAAACCGATTTATAAATTCATTTGCGTATATTTAATCAGTACTAACTTTAGGGTATGCACGCCTAAACTCACTATTAACAATTAACTTTACACTATTCGCTTTTATATCATATTGCTTACAATATACATAAATTTTTTTTATAACTTTTATCAAGTGTACATGTGTGTGTGTGTTTATATATAGAGGGGGAAAATATTCAAAATTATAGCTGAATTGTAATTTTAATAAAGCTTAAATTTATACACAAAAGTTTTTCAAATTATTCAATACTTTTTACAAAAGAAAAACAAATAATTGTAATTAAAATATATATGTATATTGTATATTCGTAATGTAACGGAACAAATGTTCAGAATAATAATGACAACTGAGTTTTTCATGTTTGTATTTTTGTCTATAAAATACGGCGACAAAATGCGCATATAGAACACCGTATATACGATACACTAGGTACGCATCCCAATGGAGGACTGCGCCTATTGAATGCTCTATAGGTCAGCGCTTGCCCGCAAAAGTAGACGCTTACTATGTTACACATAATCTAATTGGCTATAACTAAACACGTTTGACGTTTAATTCAGTGAACTAACATTTAAGCATTGAACTTAACTTAGATTACAATCTTAAGGGGGATTTCACTTAAGAGCTAGTACGATCGTTACAAGATAATTTTTTTAATTTTTTTAGAGCGCTTCAGTCGATGAGCTGCAGGGACCGTTATAGCCGTTTATGCGGCCGGAACTGGAGCCGGAAAAGGAAGCGGATCCGGACCCGGAACGGTTGCCTGCGCCAGGGCCTGTTGTTGTTGCTGCGCCGGCTGCCGGCTGCACCAGCTGCTTATAGGTGCTCTCCAGCTTGGGTGGATACTGGAGAAATGTGTGTGGGTTAAGGATATGAAATATATTGGAATGCCAGTCTAGCATACCTCCTGGTTCTCATCTAGCGATGGCAGCAGCTCGTCCAGCGAATTGGGCGTCAGCGGACTGGGCGTGGCCATTGTAACACGACTGAGCGCTCCATGCTGCAGCAGCGCCTCTCCAATTATAATCTGCGGCTTGTTTTGTGTGAGATGCTGCTGCTGCTGGAGGCGGGCCAAGCGCAGTTTCATCTCCTGTCTGATCTCCTTCTGTTGCACCTCCTTCTCGAAACGCATCATGCTGTAGCTGCGCACCGAGGAGCTTGTGCTATGCACAGACGCTAGACTTGGTCTTCGAGAACCTGCAAACGGATATAAGTTCAAAATGTATCAAAACAATATGTTCACTCGAAACTCTGTAGTTCTCTAAGCAGCTTAGTTATTATCGAAGCAGAGGCAGAAGCAGACAGAGAGACAAATAGAGAGATAGTCAGCAAGAAAGAGAGACAGACAGCATAAAGAGAGACAGAGATAGAGAGAGAGAGAGAGATAGAGAGGCAAGGCATCTAATATGTCAAGAAGCTCTAGAAAGGTATCATAAAATATCTATATATCTTTAAAGCGTTGCATATGCATAAATTAAGCAGGCAATTGAGAAGCTAATATATTGAAGGTCTGCTGACTCTGATGAAGACACATCTGATTGTGACACATATTTAATATTCCATGGAAATTTGTCTGCAATTCAAAGTTGAGTTACAAATTTAGTTTTCGATATAGACGAAAATGCAATAAATGCTATGATGGAATCAAATAACCTGTGGATGTCTTTCAATTGCGGCAACAGCGAACAGAACACAGCCTAAGCCTAAGCATTACAATGGTGGCAAAAAAAACTATACCCTGCATATTCATAGTTTATTATATGTTAGATATTAAGACAAAGTTGTATGTTAAAACTCGAATAAATGCTAGAAATGAGTTAAGTATATAAATAAGAGAAACTTTAGCTTTTTCTTAGGAACAAAATGCATTCAGTCTCATTCAGTTAGAAGCGACATAGACAGATTAGATTATCGAATAACAAATAAGATAAAACTTGGGATCGGTTGGTGTGCATTTAATCGATGGAGTGTTCCACACAGTCCACTCACAGGATGCATGCAATTTGGAATATTAAGTGTAAATATTTATATATGTGTGTTCATGTGTGTCTGTAAGTGTGTATGTCTGTGTGTGTGCGTGTAGATATCATAATAATTTGCGTTATTTTGTTTTAAAGAATTAGATAATGGTGTTATAAAAATTTCTGGAAACAGGAACATAGTCACCGCCATATTGCTTCGATATCATATTGTCAAGCTGCAGTTGTATATGGAGTATACATATATATCATTTGCGTTATTATTCAAGTTAGCTTCTGAAATATTTTCAATATTGTTTACAACTTCCGCCGGCTCAACTGCATTTGTGTTTTATTTCATTTTCTTTTAATTTTTAATATTTTGGACTTTTGCTTAGATATTTATGAACTAAACAAACTATCAAATGTTGGAGCTGGAATATATAATTTGATACGTTGTTGTCTTTGTTTTAAGCGCTTTTCTACAATTGTGTGTGTTTTATGTGTCTTTGTATGTTGTATTTATTATTTTATTTATTTTTAAATTTTTTGTAACTTAAACGAAAAGAAACCAAACAATCAACTTTGAAATTTGAAACAGAGATTTGGAAGCACATTTAACATCGATCATTTAGAACATAAGACCAAGAGTTAGAATTTTCGATGGGTTTTGTTTAACTATTTAAGGAATTACTGCAAGTAGATGATTTGAAATGAGCCAATGTACACATCAAATGAAGCCAATGATAAAATGAAGCTAAGGTCAATGTGGTAAAGCAACTGATCTTATAAGAGATATAATCTGAACTACAACAATTTTTATTGCAATCTTATTAAGCGAATACCAATTTACATAAACGAAATTAAAGAAGCCTCGAAATCGATCTCCAAAGTGATCTGCTCGCACATTAAGTATACGTAAATATAAAATTTTTTATTGCCTAGCTAAAATCTCTTCTTTGTCAATGGCTTTTATTCAATCATAATTTTTGTTAAATATATATTAATATTTGTAATTTTATATGAGCATTGAAAAAAATATGCTTCAAAATAAAAATTAAAATTAAAAAATAAATAATAATTTCTAGCTCTAAATATCATATTAAAAATATTTAAAAATATAAATAAAATTAATTTCAAGCCACAAAAATATATAATAATGATAAACTAATTTTAAGATATTAAATTTCATATATAAACAATGGGATAAGGCTTTATATGATTTCATAATATAGCATTGAAAATAATAAATAATATTTCTCTTAATTCAAAAAACTTTTTACTAGATAAAACTCAACATAATGCTTAAAGAGGCCTTAGCTTTAGCCCAAAATAGAAACGACAGTTGAAGCTGAGGCAGTTCACATTGACCTTAACTGAGAGTAAGTGTTTATGATGGAGATTTTGGTACACAATGTATATGCGAAGAGAGCAGGAATTCAAAACACCAATAGAAGAAGAAGAAGAGAACTTATAATGAGAACACATAGTTGCTAGGCGGGATCGAGTTATTGATGGAGGCTACAAATTGGCCAATTGTGATTGTTTGTGATTGACGTTGATGTTGATGTGGATGTTGATGATTGACGCTGAATGACTGCTGACTGATGAGTTGATTTACCGCAAATCTGGGCGTTTCACTCGCCGGCGTGGGCAGGGCGCCAATTTGCAAATGATGCAGCTCGGCACCGCCGCCAATGCCGCTGCCATAGTCGCCATAGCCGCCATAGCCGCTAACGCCAGCGCGACTGCCGGCACCACTGGCACCTAGTGCATCTATGCTATTGAACCCATCATCATTATTATCATCGTCATCATCATAATTATGAATGCCATTCAAGCCCAAGAGGGTCCTAAATCTATCCTGATTCTTTGTCTTCGCCGGCGACAGCTCAAAGCTGAGCAGGTGCCGTTGATGATTCAATTGCTTCTGCAGCTGGCGGTTCATTGAGAGCGTGCTCTCGCAACTGCGGCAGCCGCCAGCGCTGCTACCACCACCAGCCCCGGCCGAGCCGGAGCCGTTGCAGCCGTTGTTCTCGTCAAGATTGTCGCGCGAATGCTGGCTGCAGCCGGCGCCAGATGTGTGACGCGACGAGGCGCGTGAATTTTGTTTGGATACGGCCGTAATGTGACACGATATGAGCAATATGGCGGCCGATCTAGCCGCACCTGTACGAGACGTCGACACCAGTATGCCCTTCGAGTTGCCACCATGTCCGCCGCTGCCGCTGCCGCCGCCGCCGCCGCCGCCGCCACCACCGCCGCTGCTATTGCCGACACCGCCGCCAGCGGCGCCAGTCAAACCGCCGGACGAGGCGCGACGATTACCAAATGACCCTATCGAGCCCGTCGAACGGATGCTGGAACGCGACGATGGACGTGCCGAGTGCACGGTCAGCGGTATGCCTGAATAGAGCACAAAGCATAAAAATCAAGATCAATCCGCAATGCATAAGCCCCCTCCGCCCACTCACCTGTATCGCTGGAGTAGAGTATGGGCGGCGGTATATTCGCATCACCGAAGTTCCGATGCCTCGGATACTTGGTTTTGCTAAACAGATGCAGTACCATGCAAATGAGACCCGCCAGCACCGCAATGCCCGAGGATACGCCCAGCAACGTGGGTAAATCCGAGCTCAGCTCGCTCAGGTCTGTCCAAGAAGAGATAAGCGATTTATCAGGCCAGCTAAGACTGGGACAGTGAGTGTCCTCTCACCTGGTGTGCAAAAGACCCGCCTTGTTGGCTTCGTATAGCTGACAGAGTGAAAGCCGCTGGCGCACTGGCACATCGCATTGTGTCGCACCTGAACACAGAGGGAGTTCTCATCGTTGTAGATGCAGGTCTCGTCGTAGAAACACTGATCGCCCAGTTTCTTAGCTAGACAAATAAAACACAAGTCGAAATATAGAGTTCCAAACTTACATAGATGACATTATATATAATCTCTCACGTTTGGCACAGCCCTTTATCGGTCCCAGCTGCACGGGATAATTGCGCTCGCAACTGCACAACTGCGTCTCCTTATCGCAGGTGACATGCACAAGTTTTGCGTCACACTTCAACTCATTGCATGGCGCTCCAATGTATTTACCTTTAGCTGCAAATCGATTGTTGTCATTGTTATTATCATTAGATTTGACATTACCGCTTTCTTCATAATCAGAGTTATTGTCATTGTCATTGTCATTGTCATTGTCATTGTCATTGTCATTGTCATTGTCATTATCATTGTCATTGTCATTGTCATTGTCATTGTCATTGTCATTGTCATTGTCATTGTCATTGTCATTGTCATTGTCATTGTCATTGTCATTGTCATTGTCATTGTCATTGTCATTGTCATTGTCATTGTCATTGTCATTGTCATTGTCATTGTCATTGTCATTGTCATTGTCATTGTCATTGTCATTGTCATTGTCATTGTCATTGTCATTGTCATTGTCATTGTCATTGTCATTGTCATTGTCATTGTCATTGTCATTGTCATTGTCATTGTCATTGTCATTGTCATTGTCATTGTCATTGCTATTGTCATTGTCATTGTCACCATTAAGTAAATTATTGTAAGCTCTCATGTGTCTATCCCTATCTAGCTTACTCGAGAACAGATTCTAGCGCACGATTATAAATTCATTTTGTAATTGAGAGATTAAATTTGGAATTGACATACATATTTATTAGAAACATAATATTAAATTAAATTATAATTTTGATGCCACTTCATTTGCATCTGCATCTCCAGCCAATATAGAGGGGTTAACAATGTATTTATTACGTACTGTTGGCCTTCCCTTGACCTTTGCCAAAATGTTGCATTGCCAAAATGTTGGCCAGGTTTGTGGCGAGCACACACAAAGACTCACAAAAACACAGACACGTGGCTATAGCCGTGTTGTGTCGGCGAGTTAATTCCCCACAGATCATAATTCTCATAAATTGCACAACAGCTGCAGACTAGGCTAGCCTAGCCTAGCCTTGCCCAGCCTTTTGTTGAGCTCCTTTGGTAACAGCGCAGTAAGACCGTGAGATTGCCAGCTTGTTGCCATGGCTCTATCTGTGCGATTTTGCCGGCTTTTGGCCAGGTCGGTTATTCGTTTGCCTAACAACGCCGCAATGATTCAACGGCTTATTCAATTTATTTTTGGGCCATTCTGCGCACATTCAGCTGGTCCATTTTAGAGGTCAGCTTATGGAGACCATTTACTCGAACTACAATTACCTTATTTATTTCAAGTATTATTAACTAAATTATGCTGGGTAATGCAAATATTTCATAAGTTCTTTTGTTTTTGAAATCAACATTTAAATTTTGTTTTTAATTGAATTATTCATAATTCATGAAATTTCTGAGGTCATTTAACTAGTCTCAAATATTTTGATTACTTTTTTGTAAAAATACAATTGCCCCAACTAAAACCAATTATATGTCAGATCTAATCTCTGAGACCTTTGAAATATTTGTCTTTGTTAATTGTTTCCTTTATAAATTATATTAGCTCATCACTTATTTTACCAACATATCCCTCTCTCTCTCTCTTTCGTTCGTTTTCTCACACTAATCTAATTCATTAATTCGATCTATAAATCGTAACTTTGGATATTTTGAGTAAGATTAACTCGTAAATACAATACTAAATCTGTTTTCAATTGCACGCTGCTTCTTCAATTCATATAGCTCTAAACTAAAAACATATTCTTACTCTGCTGCCTTAAATATTTTCATTTAACTCGATTTCATACGTTATGCAATATTATATTTTCATTCATGTGACTAATTTGCAATTTCAATCTGTCCATATCCACATATCTTTATATCTATATATACTATACTCACCTGACTTATTATTAATCAAGGCATCTAAATCATCCAAGTCATCTGGATAGCTGGCATCGTAATCATCGTCAGGCACATGGGCAACATCGCGTTTTGGTTTCTTTTCGCTTATAGCTAAACTTATTTCTGTTGTTGTTATTTTTGTTGTTATTGTTGTTAGATTCGATTCGACCGACATATTCGTAGTGGTTGAGGATGCTGAGGCGTGCAGCATTAGATAGCCATAGATGAGCACGGCCAGCGTTAAGTAGTAGTGTCCATTGCCATGGCACAAGTGCAGCCAGCTTAAGAGAGCCATGCGGTTTCTATTGTTGTTGTTGTTGTTATTGAGTTGCGGTCGGCGCATTAAAGTGGGCGTGTCGTTGGCCAACTGCAGCGCCGTCAGCTGCAAACGCTGCAGTAGACGGTGCAATGTTAACTTCGCCATTTTCTCATCTTGCGGCAGCTGCCTCAACACATTTTCAACACTTTCGAAACTTTTGTCATTTGCAGCGACTACGCCTATGACTCGATTGCACTCGACTTGTGTGTGGTGCTATTTGTTCTTTGCACTTGTCACAGTTGTCGCACGTCTGATTTGAGTTGAGTTAAGTTAAGTTGTTGCTCACGTTGTTTGCTTTATGCTTTTGCTTTTGCTTTCGATTTTGTACGTTTTGTTCCTGGGCCGCTTTTTGGCAATTGGCCACAGCGCCAATTACGTATACGTTATACGTATATCACGTATACGTCATGCAGTCCGCACGCAGCGCCACGTATGCAGTTGAAGTTTAGCCTCGTTTTGGTTGAATTCGAGTGGCCAAGTTGGCCGCTGCCTGCGCTGCATGATAATTTTATATAATTTGCTCTCATACCAGGAGTGCTCGTGTTGGTGTGGTCATCATCATCAGCAGCAGCAGCAACAACATCGTCGTCATCATCATCATCACCATCATCATCGTTATTATTGGTATTGTTATGATGGGGCGTTGTTATCCACCATCCGCCACCCACCACCGCACCACAGCGTGCATATGACCCAAAAAAATGCGTTGCATGCACTATTTATACATGTGTGTGTGTTCGTGTGTGAATGTGTGAGTGTGGTTGAATTTCGCTATTAATTTCATGCAATCTACAGATTTATTACACGAAATTGTTCCGTTTTGCTGTTTTCATCCACTTGCTGGCTCACTTATCCAGCTAAAATTATACAATAGAAAAGGTCAACGTTAGAAACATATATAAAATTTATCACCGCAATTTGATTGCTGCGCATTGAGCAACTTAATTAGATTGAATAGAGCTTTGATAAGCTAACAGTAACGGGAATTATTGTTTATAAATTATCTGCATAATATTGATATATTGGGGTTTGTATTATTTTGCAATTTCAATACTTAATTAAAGCTATCGATGTGATTTAGGCATTTGTCTTATATCTTTCAATAATTCATTGGCGCTAACGAGCCCAATACTCAAGGCCAACATTGTAGACAATATTGCTGGCATAGCACCACACACATTGTTCAAGAAGGAAGATAGAATTTATGACCATTCGGACAAAACACTTGAGCCCTCTGCTCCAATTCCCCACCGTGGGAGACATAAGTTATTTAATATGTATTTAAACTAAAAGCGTTGCTCTTCAGAGCGACTATTAGTTTAACATAAGGCTGGTCTTATTACATATGTATGTATGTACTAGAGTGCTGCATGAATTCCAGAAAAACGGTGTTTCGAGTTTTCTTACTTGTTATACCCTGAACCCATTGAAAATGGGAAATCAGGGTATAATAGTTTTATGAAAAAGTATGCAACGGGCAGAAGGAACCATCGCAGACCCCATAAAGTATATATTCTTGATCAGAACGACGAGCTGAATCGATATAGCTCTGTCCGTCCATCCGTCCGTCTGTATGAGCAAACCGATATGCATACTCGTGTATACCATTGGCAGTACAAGTTTATCTTATTTTTTCAATAACTCATCCGATAACTTTTTATCGAGAATAATCGAAATATTGATTTTGTTTTTTTCAGCCTAATTTGAACATTTTTGGACCTAGAAACTTTAGATTTACTGTGTACATACAGTTGATCGATACGAAGATTTTGTAATTTACAGATTTTACATACCACGCCCCCTTCTACAAAAGAAATTATTCAACAACAAAATTCTCATAATATTGCCCACACTGCAGCGCACTCCAAGTGCAGTCGCAGCTAACTGCGCGTGATTATACGTGCGCGTGGATGTGTGTGTATGCATGTGTGCATAAAAGAAGTGCAGAATGAGTAGAATATCAGTTTAGAGGGTTCAGGGTATCTCCTAGTCGAGCAGTCTCGACTAGAGCTTTCTTACTTGTTTTTGTTGAGTTTACAAATTTTTTAACTTAATTTCATCCTTATTAAATAATTAATGCATCCACAGATGTAACACCCGTATTAAATAGATTCGATTTACTTAATTCTTTTTCTATGGGTTAGTTATGCATTGCATTTTTTTGTTGAGTTTACAAATTTTTATACCTGAGCCCATTGCAAATGGGAAATCAGGGTATAATGGTTTTTGAAAAAGTATGTAACGGGCAGAAGGAATCATCGCAAACCCCATAAAGTATATATATTCTTGATCAGCACGACAAGCCGTCTGTCTGTCCGTCCGTCCGTCCGTATGAGCAAACTGATCTTAGAAGATTTAAGAGCTAGAGAGCTGAAATTTGGTATACATACTCGTGTATACCATAGGCAGTACAAGTTTATCTTATTCTTTCGATAACTCATCCGATTACTTTTGATCGAGAATAATCGAAAATTCGACTTTGTTTTTTTTTTCAGCCTAATTTGGAGACTTCAAATTTACATTGTATATGAAGTTAATGGATACAAAGATTTTGTAATGAGTAGAATACCAGCTTAGAGGGTTCAGGGTATCTCCGAGTCCAGCAGTCTCGAGTGGAGACTTGTTTAGCTTAATTTCATTCTTAATAAATAATTAATAAATCCACTGGAACTGGAGCTATAAATATGCGAGATTCAGTTGCAGTCAGCAGCAGTCAGCGAGCCTCAAGCATGAGAGCAGTTTTAGTGATATTCTTTCTAGTTGCAGTCGTGCAATGCATGCATTTGCCATGCTGTCAGTGATGAGGAGTGGAATTCCTACAAAAAACTGTACAATAAAAATTACGCTACGTCGAGCGAGGATCGGTTACGCAGGCAAATATACAAAGACAACAAAAATCAATTTGAGACGCACAATGCGCGGTTCGCAGCAGGACTGGAGACCTGGGAAATGGGCGTTAATCAATTCACGGATCTGACATTGGAGGAGTTTCAGATGATGTCGTGCAGCTCTCCCTTGGAAGATGTCCGGGCACAATATATTTATATCCCACCCGCCAATCTTAAGCTGCCGAAGAGTGTGGACTGGCGCAAGAAGAAAGCTGTGAGCGGCATTAGATACGCGGGCAAATGCCGTAGCTGTTATGCGTTTGCGGCAGTCGCGGCAATTGAGTCTCATCAGTTTCTTAAGACCGGGAAAATGATTGAGCTGTCAGAGCAGAATCTGATCGACTGTTCGAGTAACCCGCCCTACACGAACAAGGGCTGCTCCTCCGGCCATGTTGACGAATCTCTGAGGTACGTTAAGGAAAACGGCATCAATACCCGCAGCTCATATGGCTACGAAGAAAAGCGGGGCAAATGTCGCTTCAGGAAGGATCACAATGGAGCTAACGTCGCGGCCAGCGTCATGGTCAAACGTAATGATGAGTACGCTCTGCAGGCAGCCGTAGCCACAATAGGACCCGTTATAGTGACCATCACTACTCAGCATATGCAGGGTTATATATCGGGAATTGCTCAAAAACCCTGCACCAAAAATAATACCTACCTTTCCATGTTAGTGGTGGGCTACGGTACGGATAAAGGACGCGATTATTGGCTACTGAAAAACGCCTGGGGAAAATGGGGCGAATCTGGCTACATCCGCGTAGCCCGCAATAAAAACAATTACTGCGGGATCGCTAGCTGGCCCGTTTTTCCAGTGATATAAGTACATATTATGTAAAATTATTATCGGGGATGAATACACCGGGTTTTCTATATATAAAAATATAGATATACAGTACCGAGCAAAAGTGAGTGAACGTTTCACAGCTTTGACTTTCATCACGCATAACAATAAAACCATACAAGCAAATTAAGATTTTGTTTTTTTTTCACTTGTTTATTAGTTTGTTCTTAACAAATAGAAAAAGTTGCAACCTTAAATTAGCCAAATTCAAAGAATTAAAAATAAAAAACCAAAAAAATCCACATAAACTCAATTTTGCACGTTTCATGAATTGCCAATATTTTGTTTGGCGCTTCTACTTCTCTTCTCAGCCGAAATCATGCAGATTTCCCCATAACTTAGTTCCTTGGGTATTCTTCTTAGTCGTAGATTGAGCATGTATATTTACCGTTATCTTAGTTCTTTTAATATTCTTATTTGTAAAGCGATTAGAAGCGCATTTTCTTTTCGCAACAAATTTAAAATAATTGGTGAAAAATAATTTTAAAATGTGGAAAATTTCAGTCGACATTGAAAATAGTGGTGTGTGCCTGACCGGGAAGGACTTTCCTTCGAGTACTATTGCCGAAAAGCTTGGAATCAGCCGAAATTTGACTCCGAAAACTCAAGTCAAAGGTTGCAAAAAACTGTTGTCGGGCTCTGATGCTCGTCTAATGACGTCGAAAATGAAGAAAGACAAGCTTCCAGCACCAAAGGGTTCTTCTCTAGCGATTAATAAAAGTGTTAGCAAATGGACTGCTAGAAGAGAAATTCGTGGCTTCGGATATGTATCATTCGTTAAAAAACAAACCTGCATTGTCCGAAAAAATTGTGAAGGCGCGTTTGAAATTTGCAAGGGATCACAAAAACTGGAGCATTGATGATTGGAAACGAGTTGTCTGGTCAGATGAATTAAAATTCAACCGTTTCCAATCATATGGAAATTAATATTGCTGGTGCAGACCTGGGGAAAGAATTCAACATCATGTAAAGGAAATTGTCAAACATGGCTGCGGCAGCATTCAGGGTATCTCCTTGTCGAGTAGTCTCGACTAGAGCACTCTTATTCTCTTGTTTTAATTATAAATTGAAGTAAGCATTAAGATATGTTAGTTAAGTTAGGCAGACATACAGCCATATTGTACAGGATTATATATTATATGTAATACATTATTGTCTAACTGCAAATCATAAGTAATATTTTCTTACCAATGCTAAAACTAAAAAAAATACTCCTTCATAGAAATAAACAAAGTGAGTGACTTCAGTCTCCCTCTATATAAAGCCTAGCCTGTTGTGGAGATTCGTCAGTCGCTCTCCTGATCTTCTGGCGCTCAGTCGCATTTCCGTGAAACGCTTGGGGTAATTGTTCTTAATATGTTTATCCCTTTCTTTTAAAAACTCGTGGAACTCGTTATGATAATAATTATCAATGATCGTGATGCGTCATGATGTAATGATCATATTGTTCAAAATGTTTTTGTTTTTTTATATTATTGCAATGCCTACATACATATATATATACATACATACATATAAATAATATACATATAGTATATACATATGTACATACAAGTTAAATTATCATTAATTAAAATTGATAAAAAAAAATATAATAATTGGATTTGCATTCGAAGTTTGATCTTTATTGATGTTTATTCTTTTGACTCCAATTAGCAACTGATTTACTTAAATCAAATCTATCCCTAACAAGCTGTGGCTTTGCGGCAGCTACGTTGACAGCGATGTCATCGGCCTGCTTTTATTATTATTATTATTTTATTTTGGCATAAATTTATTTGTTGTTAACTTATATAATTATGTTTACAATTGCAAATGTAATCTTTGTAAGCCAACACTACTAAAAATACTACTATTACTAATTTTAGTTGAATTATTATATATGATATATTATACATATATAATATATTATATAAATGATATTCAAATACATATATAATAGATGCTATGCATATGTAGATAAAAGATTTTCAGAAAATGTCAACAACAACATCCGTCTTATCTCCATCCTAATCAAAACTTTTTCTTTTCTTTCAGTGTTTACACTGGCGAAAAACATGCTCAAGGTCATGATTTCCTGATTGGTCAAAGGCGTCTAGATGTCAAGATGTCACGCAAGCAAAGTATTTCCCGCTCTGAGTGGATGAGGTCTTAAAAGATTTCAGACAGTAAGGCCAACAGCTCTTTAATTAATAAGGAAAGCGAAGCGGAAGAGGAAAGCCTCGAAAGATAGCAAAATAGGATTAAGAACAAGACATTAATGAAAGAGGAATAAATAACTGTGACGCAGTAGACATAGAAAAGAAATAGAGAGAAAGAAATGGAGAGATAACGAAAAATTACAACAAATAAATACATTTGCAGGCACAATCGATAAAAGACAAATTCTGTTTCAATAATATATGACAAATATCAGCAGAATGATAACGAAAATAACATGTTACGGAATATAGAGATAGTCTTATTTCCTAAAATACAAAGTTAAATTATTTGTTTAATTGTTTATTTCTATGCATATATGCATATATGTTAATTTTTTATTTTACAAATTAAGACTTTTATGCACAAGTTATATTTTATATTATATAACTTAATTATTTACTTAATAGATTAAAAGCATTGATTGGAGTGCATGAACTGAACGAGTTACGCAACTCGTCTGTGACTTATATAAGTGAGTATTATATGCGAATGTAGCAATCATGCACAACAGAAATTAGTTTGTTGATAAATTATAGAAGAGCATATAAATAAATACAATTATGTACATATAAATAAATTTATATATATATTCTTTAGCAAGGAATTCATCCAGTTAATCAATAATGTATGTCCGGTTTTGTCTTTCCATAGATTTGCCTTCTAACATTACTATTTATTTATTGATGATATGAATAGTGTGTTTTAATTCGTATCGTTAATAAATAATTACCAAAATTGATATAATAATTGAATTATTATTTATTTGGACAAATTTTTATTCATGAATCTATTTTAATTTTCGTTTATATTTCAATTTTTAGAATTATTTTTAGAGTTCCTTGGCTATGAATAGACTGCAAATATAATATAAATATATATTTATTGATATATATGTATAGTTCACCTAATATACCCCAATAAAATTGGCATTAATTTGTAAAAGTGTAATAAATGTGACGTCAAGTCCGTGTTGACTTGATTTTCTTGTCAGAATTTCAATTGGATTTTATGCATCCACATAAGCAGACGCCATATAAGTGCGCTGACAGCCATAAATAGCAGCCAGAGCGGCTGCCAAGGGTAATTAAAATTTAAAAGCAGCCTATGCCACCCACTAGCAACAATTGTTAAATAGCAACACCAACAGCAATAGCAACAACAATAACAATAAACTGCAACAACAATGATTCCATTGTTTTCACTTCAAACCCAACATCCTGACATTGACAATGCCAACAAGAAATTCACTGCGCTGTGCTGCGGCAAGCTTATAACGTTAAAGTATTATAGTTGGCCTTAACTGACTTTGCAATACCCGCTTATGGTAGAGAAAAGGCAACGTTTGTGTTTAAATCTAAGTAATTTGATTGTCATCGAAAATTAACGATATGTATGGTCAGCTATAGTGTGACTTTAAATACGATACCTATATACTGCTGATTCTTCGATCAAAGCTCCAGACGGTTGACCATGCAATGAAACTTTGAAATTAATATGTGAACAAAGTTTCCGATAGACTTAATATTTTTATGATCGTATCTATTCCCTATTTGACTTCAGCAGTCAGGCACCTAATACTCCCTTGTTTTTCATTGTGAACGTGTATAAAAGCCACATCATCGTATCCAAGTGTTTGTCTGGCATATAGTGTTAGTCGAGCCGCCGAACCCCTCCCAGCCATTGTTAACACACCCACACGCCCTCACACCGCACCACACACACACACACACACACACGCACACACACACCACCCAAAGCATTCAGCAATTGCATAGACACTTCAACTGCCGCAACACTCGCTGCCACCCGCTGAGGCAGCTTAGTGTGTGCCAAAGTGTGGCAACAATCTGAATCATCGTTTTAGTGGATGCTCCTCTTCCTTTCCGTTCTCTGTTCTCCGTTCTCTATTTCCGCAACGCTTGCAAAAAAAAAAAAAAAACAAACAAAACAAAAAAACTGCCTCTCAGTCAATGTTAATATCTGTAGCTGATGCCTTAAGAGCAAAATGCGATAATGTTCTCTAAACAATGAACGAATGCCATAAAAATAGCCGTCTATAGCAAGTGGGCTGTGTGTGTTGTGTGCGTATGTTTGTGTGAGTGTGTTTAGTGCCATGGCGAGCCTGAAGTGGATTTCTGATTAAATTAAATACATATTTCTTTGGCGTGGATAGAAACGCTGTGTGTACGCCTTGATTTGATTTATGCTTTTTATATCAAATTAATATTTATTTTCTATTGAACTAATACATGATAATAAATAAATTTCGAGTGATTGATGTTTAAGTACATGGAACATCAATTCATATTGTTGATGAATCCTGGAATTGAACTTTTTTTATGTGAATAGCATAACTGATTATTTGTATTAGCCTAAACTCTTAAAATATTGTAAAGTACCATTCACAAAATCATGTAATTATAACAAAGAGTGAAATAAATTGAAATTGAAATAAATTTTGAAAATAAATCATATCATTTTATGACACGTTTGAATTCAATAATAAATTTGAAAAATATTATTAGATAATTTGATAAGGAATTAATACTTTTCATTTACATATTTATTTAATTTCATATAATATTATATAATATTTCATACTAAATATAATATGAGATGTTTTCAATATTTTATAATATTTCTTACTGAATATAAATATTATATGTATAGGGAAAGTCAAGTTTAAGTACATGCATGAAAGTTGATTTCTTTTACAAAACATTTAATTTATTTAACACTTCATCATCTTTAAAACCTTAACCATTACGAATACTATAACTAATTTGCATTATTTATTTGTTTACCTATTCTATTTTTCACTCATACAGAAAAAAAAAATTAAGATTAAAAAAATGTTTTTGATTATTTCAAATTAATAATCATAGGCATTTATATAACATTTTGCCCCTGCCATTTACTTTATACAAGAAACTCTTTTTATGGCGCCAAGTTTTATATTTTATGTGACATTTTATTGCTGTGTCGCCGTCGTCATAAATCTTCGTATATTATATAAATGATAATAATTTAATTATGATATATTACGCACGGCTGTGGGCGAGTGGCAAATGCAATTTAAGTTGAATTGAATTGCAACAAAATAAATGGCTCATATGGAATTTATTTGTACGCTCTTGCAGACCATTAAAGAAAAAAGTCCATAATCCAAAACGTTTTACGTGGAAATTCTAACCGCGTGGAAAAACGGAAATTGCGATTGCAGCACGCACAACAACAAGCAGGTTAGCCAAGGCAATGATGAGCAAGGGAGTTAGAGAAAGAGGAAGGGTAGGCCACTTTGCCTTTAGTGGACAACGCGCGCCCATAACACGCGTATAATTGGTTGTATATGTTTGTGCGTGTGTGTGTGTGTGTGTAGGTGAGTATGAAATGGCGAGCGGGCGAGTGAGCGAACGAACGACGCAACGAAGTTACTTCGTATTTGGCAACTCTCACGAGAGTGCGCGTCGTGCCCTCGAGAGCAGAGCTGGGCAAACGGTATATAAGATTTCGTGAAGCATGCATGTTCTGTACGTGTGTGCGATTACAAGTGTGTGTTCGTTTTTAGGCACTGATAAAAGCAAATTTACATGTGCCGCCGTCACAGCTTGAACCTCGCCTCCTTCAATACAGCGCCTACGACAACGACTACGTCGGTCACGGATTTCACTTGTGTACGAAGAGTGAGGCTGTAGTTGTGAGTGTGTGCATATGTATATATGTAGATGTCGTTTAAAATGTAGGTTACACACAGCGAAACATCTACTAGCACACACATAGACATAAAAACATATATATATGTACATATATATGTATATGGCTGCATACGTAAAATAGTTTCCTTTCAAATGCGCTTGTCAAAGGCTTTTCTCTGGAGTTTTTAATGCAGGCTTTTGTTTGAAATAAAATATTGTGTGCTAAAAAATAAATAATAATAATAATAATAATAAAATCATATTTCTTGGAGTAATTTACTGTCCGATTTTAGCGAAGGACTTAACTAACTGTACTCTTCTTTTCCAAACACCCTTAATTACAACTTAACTAGTTTTACATAATTTACTATCAAATATTTTAGGTCAATTTGAATTTTCATTCGAAACACAAGAACTAAGGTAAGGGCAAATAATGTCAAAGACACCGATACACAATTTAGAATATAAATACCTATTTGTGTGTATATAACAGATATATACACAATTGGGATAAACAACAACAATAGATATGCTTACCAAGCAAAGTGTAGAAAACTCGCATTTTATTGTTATGTTCGTTCGTTATTTATGAATTTCATATCATTTTCACAACTTTTGATTGGGGAATTTTCTTATTTACACATTTTAATTTAGAAAAATAAAATGCCGTCAAAGCGTAATGGAATTGTTTTCGCTACACGCACTTGTACGGATACTTCTCAATGCATTGCGAGTGTGTACATATATTTGTATGTACGTTTATTCACAGTGCACACTTCCACGTCTTGCACGTCGGCTAATCGCACTAAAGCATTTATATAGCACTCTTTTTTGGGCTACGGCAAATAAGTACTATAGAGACATGGATATGTGTGTGTGCTTTTATATAGTTGTGCACTTTTCACTCGTGTTGTTGTGTTACACACTGTCACTCACTGCACGGACGTTTTAGTCTTGAATAGTGGCAATGCTGCTCGCTTGGTGGTTGCTTGGCATCTGTTCGGGTCCTGGGCAGCGAGGGTTTTAAAGCTCGCATCGAAGAGACCAGCTAGCAGTGAGAGTGCGCCTAGATAACTGAGAGTAGCATATTACAAATCCACAACAATCAGCTGTTCTCTATTATCCTTACGTGTTTTAAAATTTCGCGCCATTTGACAGTTGAACAGTTGGCAGTTGAACGATAAGTATTGGTATTTAATAGTTTGTTAGTTTTGGTCACACGCTTCTTGTTAATATGATAAGTTCAGCTTTTAACAGCGCTTATCTTGAGCTGTGCAAGCTATCTCTCTCGCACACTCTGTTAATTGGCTGGGCTGGTCACACAAATAATACGATCAAATTCTAAGGTTAACAGCTGTTAGTTTTAACAGTCGACTATCTCACTCATTCATTCTCTCTCTCTACTCTCTCTTTGCTCATGCTAGCTTTCGTCGTTTGATGCGCCATAGCAGCAATTCAATAGGGTTTTGTCTTTTAACGCAAGTGCATTTTATTTGGAGTAGGCTGCAGGCGAAATAATAGATATAGACATTGAAAATTTAAAACAAAATGCGTTCGTGGTTAACTTTAGCATTGCTGGTGTGCATTGCACTGGCAGGTGAGTAATACTACATAAATTTAAAATGTAAAAGCAGCAAACGAAGATTGAATTTAAATCGTCTATGCGGCTTTTTCGCTTGACATTTGTGTTAGTTATATGTGTGTGTGTGGGTGCGTGTGTGTGTGTTATACATGAATACGTGTGTATGTGGGCTTATGTGTAACAAAAGCGTGGCGTGAGCCCATTTACATGTGTGTGCATGTGTAGCAATGGCTGCTGGTACCGCAATAGTTTGCTAAAATTCCGTTTGTTACTTTTTCCTATGCATTTTTTCAGCTCAAGCCACAAAGCCGCCTCGTTGGGATCCCAATTACATAGTGAAAGGCACTCTCTATATACCCTACGCTGAGATAGCTGAACCCTTTTACGCCTGGTATGACAAGAACACGAAACGCTCTCGCATTGATTACTATGGCGGCATGGTGAAGACCTATCAGCTGGCCGGCGAGGGTCAATATGGCACCGCACTGAAACTGGCGCCCATTTCCACAAAGGAGGAACTAAACAAGCTGAGCTGCCTGCAGGTAAATGGAACCGCCGACCAGGTAGTGGAAATCCAAAGTATATTGCCCGATGCGAAGCCATTTGCTCTGATTGGCACTGAATCTTTCCTCGGCTATACGTGCGACAAGTTCCGCTTGGAGCAGACAATTGGCCAGAAGAAGAATGTTTACACACTGTGGGTGCGCTACAAAAAGTCGCCTCATTATCCGGGTAGTCGAATGCCCATTCCAGTGCGTTACGAGATGCGCGGCTACAATACCCTGTTGGGCTCCCATTATGATCATTATTATCTGGACTATGATAGCTATGAGCACGATGAGATACCCAATGAAGTCTTTGAGATTGATGAGAGTCTCACCTGCACTGGCTTCCCGGGCCCGGGTCACTTTGCCACCTTCAATCCGATGCATGAGTTCATCTCCGGAAGCGATGAGCATGTGGAAAAGGCATTCCATCACTTCAAACGCAAGCATGCCATCGACTACAGCACCGAGAAGGAGCATGAGCATCGCAAGAATATTTTCAGACAGAACTTGCGATACATCCATTCCAAGAATCGTGCCAAGCTCACCTACAAACTGGCCGTCAACCACCTGGCAGATAAGACAGATGAGGAGATGAAGGCACGTCGTGGCTACAAGTCATCTGGTGGCTACAACTCGGGCAAACCTTTTCCCTATGATGTGGAAAAGTTCAAGGATGAGATACCCTCGCAATACGATTGGCGTCTCTTTGGCGCTGTCAGTCCCGTGAAGGGTGAGTGCTTCTGACATCGCGTTAATTTCTATAACAATACCTTCTTGATTCACAGATCAATCGGTGTGCGGCTCGTGCTGGTCTTTTGGAACCGTAGGTCATCTGGAGGGCGCGTACTTCCTCAAGAACGGTGGCAATTTGGTTCGTCTCTCGCAGCAGGCGTTGATCGACTGCTCCTGGGGCTATGGCAACAATGGCTGTGATGGTGGCGAGGACTTCCGCGTATACCAATGGATGATGCAAGTCGGCGGCGTGCCCACAGAGGAGGAATATGGTCCCTATTTGGGTCAGGACGGCTATTGCCACGTGAATAACGTGACGCTTGTCGCTCCGATCAAGGGCTTTGTCAATGTCACTAGCAACGATCCGAATGCCTTCAAATTGGCAATGCTTAAGCACGGCCCACTCTCAGTGGCCATTGACGCCTCACCAAAAACCTTTAGCTTCTACTCGAATGGCGTCTACTACGAGCCGGAGTGTAAGAACGATGTGGATGGCCTCGATCATGCCGTATTGGCCGTTGGCTATGGTACCATCAACGGCGAGGATTACTGGCTGGTGAAGAACTCTTGGTCGACCTACTGGGGCAACGATGGCTACATTTTAATGTCTGCACGCAAAAACAACTGCGGCGTCATGACCATGCCCACCTATGTCGAAATGTAAACTCTCAAATATCTATATATAGTCACCTTTGCATATATTGTACAATTTAATTTTTTATATATTCTACATTGTGTCACGCCCCGCGGGCTCTAAAAGGAACAAGCAATAAAGCATATGTCAATACTCTTTTCGTAATCCCAGTCTTTGGCCTCTTATCTCAAACTAAAGCATATAGCTCTATAAAGCTCTACGATTCCACAGCTATATCTCTATGCCGTTCGCTCTGACCCCAACTACACTCTGGCGATAAGTTTTAGATGACAATGACCAGCTAGGCACTGCACTTTGCTCACTTTATCGCAACTGTTGCTATTCTCGGATGAGCTAATATCAAGTATTGCCTTATGGAAATAAGAGATTGGCCAATTGACGTTTGCTAACCATAATTATAATAACAAACATCCCCTTAAGGAAAATTCCCATGTCAAGCAGGAAAACACATTTAACGTTTATAATTTTATTTCGTTTTATTTGTTTTTCGTTTTTCTTTTTACTGTGGTAAAGAATCTTACGAATCCAATTTGTTTTAATGTATTTTACAGACGGAAGTGTTAAGATTCGCCCATTTTTTTCTGTTTGTTTTTTCGGTTTTCTTTTAGTAAATAATTAACATATTTAATGTACATCAGTTAAACCAAATGTTAAGGCTAAAAACTCTACTCTTATTATTCAAAATTCGCACTTAAAATTTATGCAAAATACTTAATTTACAGTAAAAATGATTATATTGAATTTTCTTCAAATAATTTATACGTAATTGCTGTTTGTAATGCTATAAAACTAATTTTGTTTTGTTTTTTTTTTTTTTTTTTTTTTTTTTTCTTTTCAATTTTTATTACGAAATTTTCGTTTGTAAATGTATTTTATGTCTAAATGTATTTTGTTTAGTATTATACAGATCTTAAATAAATTAACAATATATTTGTTTTATATAAAATCGGCTTCTTAAATTTGCATTTTGTATTTTACACTTTCTTCATTAAAAAAAAAAATTGTTTTTGTTTTTATTTTCTTTATATATATATATACAGATAAACCCATAAAAACAACATATTCTTAAAAAGTTAATATATAATTTCTATACTCCTAACTCCAATACTCCGACCGATTTTAAATGTTAACGAGAGCATTTAAATATATTAGAATAAATTCTTATACAAAATAATCTTTTTTGTTTCACGACTTTCGAACTAAAAATTCATGTGTATTAGTTGGATTAAAAGAATATGATATAAACGATGAGGAAACTGATACGGCAATACTTGTCGAAAGTTAGGCGTACAAGTTTTTAAGGTAATATAAACTATTTGAGAGATATAATCTATGTATAGAATAGTTCAATTTTATGACAAGAAAACCTAAAATCAATTCTGATCAAAAATATGTTCATGGAGATAGCACAGGTAATAATATAGTTCTTGCATAATATCCAAGCCTGATCCATCTCCGAAACATGACAACTAAATATTTCATTTGAACCATCTTTAACAGCATATACTCAAGAGTTTCTGTTCGTCCCTAAATTAATTAATTTTAGTTAAAATTCTTTGAACCTAAACGATTTAAACCTCTTAAATGTTAAATGTAAAAACTGTTGTAATCTGTAAAAAAGTCAAATTATAAAGAGATAATTTTGGTATTCAAAATTTCTTAATAATTTAAAAGAAATACATATTCACAGGGCTAAAAATTACGATTCTGTTGTTGTTTTTGGGCATTTAAGGAAAGGAATTAAGCGGAGAGTTTTTCTTTACTGAATTACAAAAACATTGAAATCTATTGTTAAAGAGGAAATAATTTCAAGTTTTATGTTGATCTTATACGCGACGGCCCTTTTTATGTACAATATATAAATTTTAAATTTGTTTTTTAGGCATTACTTAAATTTAATTACGTTCAATTATCTCGCCTTTTGTACTCTTTTTTCAATTTTTAGCTTACGTACTAAATTAGCATTGTTGTTTCGTGCTGAAACGGATTAATTTTATTTACTCTGGATTCTATATACAGTTATTCAACAATATGCGATTCGCTCTTTACTCTGGCAAAATTCCTATTTACAGTTTAGTTCCATTTATTTTGGTTTATAGTATTGCTTGCGTTTTAAGCCTGGTTATGTTGTTATCAATTCTTTCTTTTCTTTATTAAATCTGTTATTATTCTCATATAATCTTTAATTACGACTACGAAAAAAAATTAAGTGAAAACAATAATCATATTTTGTTGTTGCTTTAGTTTTTGTTTGCATATTTCAATAAGTTTAAATAAATGTAAAAATTCTCGAAGCTCTACGCAACTAAAAGTGCTAAGGTATAAAGTAATATTAATACATTATGCAGTTAATTATTTTAAAAACAAAAGGAAATCTAATGCTTACAGCTTGATAAACTTTTCAATTAGTTGTAGTTTGTTTGTGTGTGATTCTTTTGTATATCTAAGTTTTATATACGTCTATAGCGCTACATATAGTATTTATATATATACTACATTATAAAGATACATATTTATGGAGTAGAATTAGATAAGTTGATCGATTGTTGCGAAAAAACGCGACCAGTTGAACTGCTAATTAGCTTAGCAGAAGGCTCTTCACTATATTCTTGTCATCGTTTCTTCTCCCGAACTCAAAGCGATTACATATTTATATAAATAAATATATATATAAATAATTTATTTATATATATATATTTTTAAGTAGTATTAATTATAGCGAGTTATAGCGTTTACAACACAAATAATAAAGTTTCAATTTCTCTGTGAGTGCCTTTGTATTTCTATGTCCGGATTTGCTGTACATTTGTTTAAATAAGGAGAGCCGCGTAGCATATATATGATTTACATATATAGATTTATATATATCATTTGATACGCCAGCGATTGTTTTCAATATCCAGATTTTGATTGCTATTTCGAGTTGAGGTTAGATTTTCGGTTTATCCGAAGGATCTGCTGCTTTCATCTGCTGCTTTTGATTTAATGCCTGTCGTGAAATAAATTCGACTATGAATAAAATGTCATCTTTCATCGAAATTCTCGACCCACCTGTTCATAGCCTCTATGTTGCATCACGCCTGGCACTCGCTCCAGTCACTTTGTCCACTAGGCTGGCACTGCCACCAGCTGTTGCACCGGCGCCCAGGCGCTCAATGACACGCGAATCACAGGAAATTGTGCGCTGCAGACAACGCGAGCGTTCACTCATCTTCTCCTGCTGCTGCTCCAGCAACGTGGGTGCCGCATTGAAGTGACCACCTGCAAAACGAAAACTATTAGCAAATGGACTTCTGGTTAAGATTCAAAGCTTACCCTTGGGCTTGTCATCGAACATGTGCAGCTTGTGAGCAGTGCTCAGGATGCTGTTGACCGTGCTCAGCGTTGCCGCTGCTGAATTCACCACAGAGTTCTTCGGGTTGCCCTTGAGCGCCGAGGAGGATTGCTGTTGCTGCTGCTGTTGCTGGTAGAGATGATTCTTGTCGCCGCCGCTGCTGCTGCTGCCGTTGTTCTGATTCTGATGGACGCTGATGGAATTGCGTCGATCACGCATCGCCTGGTAGCGTTCTGGCGACTGCAGCGAGCATTTGTTAATGGTCTGCGGCTTGGCAAAGCAGCGCTCCGTTGGCGTTGTCGGCGTCGTCGGAGTTGTGGGCGCAGTGTCGACCGAGGGGCGATGCCGCATGCGATATTCGCTAATCGACAGCTTGCGTTTCGGCATCGGCGCTGGCTCCGGCACAGTCAGCATGGGATTTAAGCGGGGATCATGGCTGGCAGTGCGCGTGTAGAGCTTGAGCGGCGTTGTCGATGGCGGCGGCATGCTCTCCACTGCTGTAGCCAGCCCATTGTTAGCTGTCATGGCAATTGATGCTGTAGCGGCTGCGGCTGTTGGTGGAACAGCAACGACTGTTTGAGCTGTTGCTGCAGCTGCTGCGGCCGCCGCCGCCTTCGATTTGGTTGCTTCCAAGTACTCGGCCAAACTAGGGATGCTGCTGCTGCTGCTCATTTTGGCCAGCGGCGAGGACACTAACGATGCAATGGCCGGCATCACTGGCGGCTCCTGCAATTTGCCATAGATGGTGTTGTAGAAGGGCAGCTGCGGCAGGGGAGCACCGACAGGTGGCACTGACATTGCTGCTGTTGGCATTGCTGTTGGTGGCGTTGACAATGTTGGTTGCGTGATTAGCACAGGTATCGGAGCAGCTGATATGGGCGCTGAATGAACAGGGGGCGTGGGCGTGGCTGTAACTGGCTTTGTTAAGGCCGGCTTAGCTAATGCTGTCTTGTTGGCCATTGCATTTGCAGCTGTTGCAGTCGTCTGCTGTTGCTTCTGTTGACTATTGGCCTTAGCCTTTGTCGTCTCCTTGTCCTTGTCCTTGTCTTTCTCCTTTTGCTTGCCTTTCTCCTTCTCCTTTTGCTTCTTCTCACGATCCTTCTTCTTGCTCTTCTTCTTTTCCTTCTTATCCTTTTTCATAGCGGCCGCAATGAGCGCCTGCTGCCTGCTGCCGCACATAGATTCGCGCCGTCGACTGATCGGCGTCAATTTACCGCTGGCGATGGCCGCTGCCAAGCTCATAGAACCGGTTGCCTCCTGCTGCTGCTGTTGCTGCTGCTGCTGCTGCGGCTGATGGTGGTGATGATGGTGATGATGATGATGATTGTTCTCCTTGCGATGCTGCTGCTGTGCTGTTGTTGGCGCAACAATTGCCGCTGCTGCTGTTGCTGCTGCCGTTTGCTGATGCTGCTGCGGGGTTTTGCTGGTATTGAGCAATAGACTGCTGCTGAGTATTTGGCTGTTGGGCTTCGTCAGCTCCTGCTCAAAGTTGGTCTGACGCTTCTTTGTGGCTCCTAGTACTGGAGTTGTTGGCACTGTGGGCGTTGTAGGCGTGCCTGCCGTAACACACATTGACATGGTGCGACGTCGCAGTGCCGATTGCTGCTGCTGTTGCTCCAGCACGTTGCTGTTGTGTTTGGTCTTGCCATTCGTTGTTGCTGTTATTGCTGCCGCTGTGACAGGTGTGAGTGTTGCAGGTGTGGATGTTGTTGCTGCTACAGCTGCTGGCAGCTGGAATTGCTGCTTCGACTCTTTGGGCTGCTTCTTTTTGGCCTCAGGCGCAGCAACGGCCAAGGCTGCTGCGATAGCTGCCGCCTTCAGTTTATCTTTCTCCTTTGACTTTTTCTTGTCCTTTTTCGACTTCTTGATCTGCTTGTCGCGCTCACGCTTCTCATCCTTCACCTTGCTGGACTTTTTGGTGGGCAAGTCAACGCCGGCTGCAATATTATTGTTGTTGTTGTTGCTCTTGCCGGAGCAGCTGCTAGTTGCCTTCTTATTGCGCGACTGCAAATAGGAGATGTTCTCAGCATGGAAGGATAAGAGACGCTCCTGTATGTCCAGCTCGGTTAGGTTTTTGCTGCTGGCTGCAGGCGTAGCAATTGCCGTTGCTGTTGTTGTTGTCGTCGCCGTTGGGGTTGACGTTGCTACCGCAGCAACTGTTGCAGCTGTTGTGGTTGCTGCTGTTGTTGCTGCTGTTGTTGCTGCTGTTGTTGCAGCTGTAGCTGCTACTGCTGTTGTTGTTGCTGCTGTTGAGTTTGTTTCCAACTTGGGCTTCTTTTTAAGCGGTTCATCCTCATCCTTCACAGCTGCAGCGCGCGGTTTGGCAGTCGCCTTGGCCTCAACCACAGTCGCCGTTGCAATGGCTGTTGTTGCTGTTGCTGGCATTGCAGCCATTGCTGCTGTGCGCAGCAACGATTCACCTGGCTTGGGCTCAGGCAGTGTCTCCACTTTAGCTGTTGGCTCCGGCTTAATTTCCGCCTTGGGCTCCACTTTAGTCACCTGCTGCTTCTCTTCTGGCAAAGGCTCCACCTTGGCGATGGCTTGTTGTTGCTCTTGCTGCTGCTGCTGCTGTTGCTGTTGCTGTTGCTGCTGTTCCTCCTTCTCGCGCTTAACATTGATCAACTCTTCAAACTTGTCACACGCTTGACTCTCCTCACGCTCCACATCAATCTTGACATCCTCCGCTGCGGCACTTGTGTCCTCCGGCTCAATCTTGACCAGATTATCCTCGGCAACGATTTGCTGTGCACCGGGACTGGGCGACCGCAAGATGTCCACATCATCATCCTGTTCGAAGTGCTGATGCGTCTCGACTTTCAACACTTCCGTCTGTGCCTGCTCCAACTGCTCCACTTTGTGCTCCTCCTCGCCGGCGCTGCCAATGACGTCGATGTGCGGCTCCTCAACTGCCGTCGCCTCCAACCCACCATTGCTGACGACCACCAGACGACGCTTCTTCAACGGCGTGCTGAAGCCGTTCGAGAGCAAAGGCGGCGTCTGCTGCTGCTGTTGTTGCTGGTGCTGCAGCGGCGATATGCTGGGCGTGGGCGTCACCGGAGCCTGGGGCTGATTCTCATCGGTTGTCTCTTCGCTAATGGCCTGGCGCAGCCAACGCTTCTTCACCGACGAATTGTTCTGCACGGAAGGCATCTGTGAGCGCTCAGTGGCCTCCACTTGATGTATGAACTGCTCCACTTTGAGCAACGCTGGAGCATCGATTTGCAGTTGCTGCGGTTGCTGTGCGGGAATTTGCTGCATCTGTTGCTGTTGCTGCTGCTGCTGCTGTTGCTGTTGCAGCTGCTCCCTGGAGCCATTTATTTCGCTCATGGCTGCTTGGACTAGACTGTCCAGTCCAGATTGTTGCTCGCATTGCTCCGACTGAAACCAGCTGGACATGAGCGACTTCTTTGTCTTGGCGCCACTGGGCGGATACTTGAACTCCCCAACGGATGGCGATTGCAACGATTGCTGCTGCTCTGGCTGCTGCTCTAGCGGACCCATTGCTGCCTCAATTAGCAAACAGGCGCTGCTGACCGCAGACGTTGCTGCTGGCGGCTTGAAGGGCTCGCAGTTGTTGTGCGCCAATGCCAGCAGCAAGCCCGCAGCCTGATCTGTAGATTGTTGTTGCTGCTGCTGCTGCTGTTGCACGCTGTTGTTGTTGTTGTGCTGCATTATATTCTGATGCTGATTCAGATTCAGATTTTGATTCTGTAGCGCCGGTGAAGCCAGCTCCGATTCGGTATGCGATTCAGCATCCGATTCACTTAGACTCTTTCTGCGCTTGCTGTTGTTGTTGTGGTTGTTGTAGCTGCGACTCACTTTGCGCTTCTTTTTGTTGCGCCTTGCTGCGCCACCTTTGCTGCTATTATTGTTGTTGTTGTTGTTGTTGTTGGTGCTAGTGGGCGTGCCCAAGTTCAGAGAGCTGCCGTCGGCCGACTCACTCATGGAATTGCTGCTGGCATTGCGTTTGCGCGGCGATGCTGGCGAATTGCTCATGCGCTGCTTGCCACCCACTTGGCGACTCTCTGCGCCCGCCGCTGCACCGCCGCTGGCCTTCTTGCCGCGCGCCTCCTGCTTCTCCATTTTGTCGATGGCACGCAGAATGGCTTCCAATTTGCGTTCCTCACGAGACTTTGGCTTGTCCTTCTTGGCAGCGGGCGTTGATGTTGCCGGCGTGCTGGCAGCTGTTGACGATTCCTCCACCTTGGCCTCTCGTACGGCGGGGCTATTAATTGTTGTTGCTGTTGCTGCTGCTGCTGCTGCTTTAGCAGGCGTTTTGCGTGTTGTTGGAGTTAAATTGATGCTATTGTTGTTGTTATTGTTGTTATTATTATTGTTGCTGTTGCTGCAGTTGTTGTTGAGCTGTGAGTTCGCTTTTGAAGGCGTTTTGGTGGGCGACACTGATGCCTGATAAATCTGTGCTTGCTGCTGGGGTGATGGCTGTTGCTGTTGCTGTTGTTGCTGTGACTGTTGCAATTGGAACTGCTGTAGTTGTTGATGTTGTTGTTGCTGCTGCTGCTGCTGCGACTGCTGTTGCTTAAGCGGCTGTGTTGTTGTAATTTTTATGGGCGTCGCCATGTGCGCTGTGGGCGTGGCATGTAAAGTTTGTAATGCGCTAACCGCCATGCGTGCCTCATCAGCCAGCTGTTGCTGTTGCTGCTGCTGCTGCTGCTGCTGTGCGTATTGCTGCTGCTGCTGCTGCTGCTGTTGTTGTTGCTGCTGCTGCTGTTCTTGTTGTTGTCGCTGCACATTGATTTGCTGTTGCTGTTGCTGTTGTGACTGTGGCTGGTGCGGAGACTGTGGCTGCAAATAGAAAGTAGCCATCGGTCGCTGTGCCGCTGCTGCAGCTGCAATTACCGCCAGCGGCTCCTGTTGCTGCTGTTGCTGCTGCTGCTGCTGCTGGTTTTGCAACAGCGATGGTTGCTGCTGCTGTGTCGGCTTCTGCAACAGCTGTGGCGACAGTAACATAGGTGTCGGCAATGCAGCGAGTATTTGCTGTTGCTGCTGTGTTGGACTGCGCTGCAGCAGCGATGTCTGCTGCTGCGCCGGTTGCTGCTGCTGCTGCAACGTGGGCGACTGCAATTGCGTGGGCGTAGGCGATGGAATGGACACCGATGGCGATGACGACGATGTACAAATGCCCGAGTCGTGCAGCACACTGGACATGGAAACGGAGCACGAGTTGTTGCTGTTGCCGCTGTTGCTGTTGCTGTTACAGAGCATTGCAGCAGCAGTTGCCACCGCTGTCACGCCGTTGCCCATCGTGCTCATCGTGACAGCCGGACTGGGCTTAAAGCCCAAATTCAACTGGCTCAGCTGCGGACTGTTGAGGCCCATGTGGCTGCTGCTCTCGCCACTGGAGGAGGTGGAGCGATTGCGTGCAGTTGCCGCTGCTGCTGCTGCTGCCGCTGCCACTGTGCTGCCCATGCCCATGGTCAGCTGTATTGCTGCGGCGCTGTTGGCAGCCGTTGCTGCTGCCGCGGCTGCAGCGGCGGCCTTGTTGCGATGACTGCTGCGCGGCTGAGCGGGCGGCGCCTGCAGCTGCTGTTGCACAGCCAGGGGCAGGGCGAACAGGCAATCACTGCCCAGATCACAGGCGCACCGTGTGCTCGTCGGCTGTATGACCGCCGAGTGGGACTTCTTCTGCTCCACAGCTGCCAGGTCGTGCGGCTCGTGCCGCACCGTGATCTCCGTCTGGGCTCGAATGTGCGTCAGCGCCACAATATACAGATGCAGTGTGCCCTTCTCGAAGTAGTGCTGCAGCTCGGCGTTGGGCCGGCACGAGCGACGCACGAAGCGGGCGTCGTTGCCATAGGTTCGCGTATCGACGCACACCTCGGGTCCCTTGAGGTAGGCGGGCAACGGTGGCGGCGGCTGGTGGTTCGCCTGCTGTTGATGCGTTTGCATGGGCGCCTCCACGCCGGGCAGCTGATAGAAGAACACAAACTGTCCGGGCGTCTTGTGCACCTTGAAGCTGTTCAGATAGTTGCTCGGCGGCGGCGTATTCATGTTCACGGTGGGATTCTGCGTGCGAAACTGCGTGGTCAGCATGTACTTGCCGCGCAGCTCATGGATGGGCGCATGCGGCGCCAGATCCACGCTGCTGATCAACACCTTGGCGCCCGCATACGGTATTAGCTGGGCGCGCTTGTCCAGCTCCGAGGCACAGCCGCCAGCAATCAGACGCAGCGCCTTATTCTCCGTATTCTGTATGCTTTGCAGCAGGCTGGGCTGCTTCTGTATGGCATGCAGACGGGCACGCAACTCGGGCGAATAATGATTCGTTACGGCGTACTCATAGTGCTCAATCCACTGACGCAAGTTGGCAGCATGCTTCTCGGCGGCAGTCAAGGCGGGACTGCTACCACCGACGCCATCGCCGCCGGATTTGCTCTTGCGCTTGCTGCTCTTCTTTGTCGACTTGGAGCTTCCTGTGCCGCCGGTTGACCCACCACTGGCATTCAGCTTGTCGCCGCTCTTCTTGCTCTTCTTCAGCGTGCCGGCTGCGCCATCTTTGGTTTTCTTTGATTTCTTGGTTATGCCACCAGCAGCTGGGCCGAAGCCACCATTCGGGCCGGCTCCGAGCCGTTGTTGTTGCTGCTGCTGATGCTGCTGTTGTTGTTGTTGCTGCTGCTGCTGCGGCAGCTCTTGGCTGTTGTAAAGCAGTGAGCCTGCCGCTGTCGCTGCTCCGCCCATTGAATTGGCTGCTGATGCTGCTGCTGAAGCGCCAACAGCGGCTGCCGCAGTTCCCGTTGCAGGCGGCGCACCACTTGCCGCTTGTGTAGCCACGAGCAGCATATGCTCTCGACGCTTTTGGCGCTGCAGCGCACGTGCCCTGGCCTTGTCCACGGGTCGCGGCTGGCACAGCTCGCACTGATACTCCTCGGGTATGTTGAGGCGATCGATGCCCATGCAGTCCACGTGCTGCCAGGCGCTATGGATGGTGTAATTCAACATTTTTGATTAGTAAACGCAACAATCTAGAGGGCTGGCATACTTACGAGCACTTGTCGCAGCAGATCATGTAACCATCGTCATGGGTTAGCTCACAGATGCAGCGGGTAACCGAATCATCCTCAGCTTCTGCCTCGGGCGCTGTTTCCGTCTCCTCGCCTGGATCAATATCGGCGCTGGCCAGACGTGAGCTCCCGCTTATAGCCGACTGGGCGTCATCATCATGCGGCACATGGCGGCCCACTGGTTGGGTAAATGAAGACAACGAAATATTTATATATTTTTTTTATAATATTAAGATATATTTCGTAACTCACTCTGTTGTCCATAGAAACTGTTGAAGCCCCCCGGAGTCGTTGCGGGGCCGCTGACAGTGACACCAATGCCGCCAAGGGACCACTGCTGTGGCTGCTGCTGCATTTGCTGTGCGGCTGTGGCTCCACCGGTCGCCGACTGCTGCTGCTGCTGCTGCTGTTGTTGTTGCTGCTGCTGCTGTTGTTGTTGTTGCTGCTGCTGCTGAGAGGCGTACGTGTGATCCTGCATTATGGCGTGCAATTGCTGCAAACGCAGGTCTTGAGTGTGCACAGGCACTGGACGCACTTCCTCTATGTACAGCTCCTCCTCGTTTGCGTTCAGTTGTTGTGGCTGCTGCTGCTGCTGCTGTTGTTGTTGTTGTTGTTGTTGTTGCTGCTGCTGCTGCTGCTGCTGAGGTTTCATCAAAAGCGTCGCTGTCTCCACGTGCACAGGCGTCAAGTGTGGACTCGCTGCTGAGCTCAACGCTGTCGCCGCTGTATTTAAGCTCGTGCTGGAGTTGCTACTGCGCAGTCCACTGTTTAAATTATTTAAGCTGTTGCTGCTGCAATAAATTTCAGAAGTTAATTTTTACGTTAGTTGTGCGCGTTGACAGTTTTCGTTAGGGAATGGCTCGACGTAGAAACAAAACCTATCACTAAACTAAGCTCTCGATATCGATAGCTACAGAAGCTGAGAATCTGTGCTGCTTGGTGCTCGGAGTCAGGGCAACTTTTCCTTATCCAAAATGTACTTGGCAACCATTTTTTTTCGATCCCTCATTCAAATTGAATTGATGTGCTCAACCAACTGTCAAGTGCCTGCCTCACTAGGCAAAACAAACTAGATCGTAAGCAAATATTTCATTTCAAATACTCCTAATGAAACTTCCAATCCTAACATTGAAAACTTTGTCCGTTTGGTATATAGATCAAATCTAATTCTCTTTCCCATATACATTCATAATATATTGTTAAAAATTAAGATATTTCAAGTTTATAGGAGAATCTTATTGCTTTCTATTCTAATCTATTTAACATTCTAATGCAAATTCAGTTTAATAATAATATGAATGCTGGAAAGAATCTAATAATAGTAGGTCTATAAAAAAATCCTTACAAAATTCTTATATTATTTTTACATTATATTATTATTGTTATATGTGAGGGCATTAGAATCCCATTCTTCTCAAAGTCTTTGAATGTTTTGCCTTTTTCCATAAAATTCTAATTTCAATTCCTCAATCAAGCTTTAATTTTGATTAAAAACCAGTTACGATAGATTATTATTTTACTATACTTTATTTTCATTTAAGTTTATTCCTTTTGACTATAGCTCAACATAATGTTTACCTCGCCAATTACTCACCTGTGCTTGTAATACTCGACCACAGTGGGCGGCGGTTTGCGCATGTTTGCTGCTGCTGCTGTGACAGCCTCGTGGAGCAGGTGCTGTTGCTGCTGCTGGATTTGTTTGCGCTCGAGCGACGTTGCTCGGCTGGTGGGCGCACTGACCGACTGACGGCGCGCCGCCGTCGCCGACATGTAGGAGGACATTGCGGCACTGCCGCTGGCAAAGCCATGCGAAGAGATGCTCACCGAGGGCGCGCTGGAGGAAGTCACCGTCAGATACGAGCCAGACGCTGGCGATGACGTGGCTGGCGAGGGTGATGGCGATGAGGCTGGCGTCAATGTTGCTGTTGACGACGAGCTGGGCGACATGCCGGCTGCTGCTGCTGCTGCTGCAGCTTGATAGTGGGTCAACAGCAGATTGTTTGACGTTGCTGCTACAGTGTTGTTGCTGTTGTTGTTGTTGCTATTGCTACTGCTGCTGCTGTTGTTGTTGCTGTTGCTGTTGCCGCTGCTATTTCCTCCGTATATAATTTGCGTGGGTGTCGACGTTGGCTGTGGCGGTGGCATGCTTGCATTTGCTGCTGCTGCTGCTGCTGCCGCTGCTGTTGTTGGTGTTGATGTTGGCGTTGTCTGCTGCTGAAAGCGCTGCTGCTGCTGGCTAAAGGACTTTTGTGCCATGCTCTGCAGAATGCGCGCCGAGAGCTCATCTGTCATCTGCGTGCCATTCACAATCATCACATCGTCTGTGATCAGGGAGGATTGATGATGTTGCTGCTGCTGCTGCTGCTGGTGGTGGTCGGTGCTGCTGTCGCTGCTGCTGCTGTTGTAGTGAATGCGCTTGACCTGGCCCTGGGGCGGATGCTGCTGGATGACGGTGCCGTGTGAGTTGACAAACTTGATGGCTCCCGCCGTCGACTGCTGCAACATGTAACCGCCGCTGCCGCCCCCAGCCGTCGTTGTGGTCTTCTGCTGCAGCTGCGTGCCTTGCGGCAAGTTGGCGGCTAACTGTTGCAGCGGTTGCTGTTGCAATACATATTTCGTGTTGCTGCTAGCAGTCAGTTTGTTCAGCTTATTGGGCGTCAACTGTTGGTGCTGCTTGCCATAGGCATTCTGCTGCTGCTGTTGCTGCTGCTGTGGCACCGCAGCAATGGATAGGCCGCCGGACGCGCTGCTGTACTGCTTGACGAATTTGGGTTTGACGGCTGTCTTGTGTGTTGCCTGCTGTGAGGAGATGAATGCCTTCAACTGTTGCTGCTGCTGCTGTTGGTGCTGTTGTTGTTGCTGCTGATGTTGCTGCTGCTGCTGGTGCAACATGTTGCCAACACTCTTGACTGTTATTTTCTGATTGGCCTTCTTGAGCAGAGCCGCCGCCGTTGTCGTTATCGCCGGCCGGCTAACGTATTTCTGCTGCCCCGCTGTCGCTGACTGCACAATGATCTGCGGCGGCTGCTGCTGCTGCTGTTGCTGTTGCTGCTGGGGCGGCACATACGACTGGAGTCGCGTCACCACCCGCGAGCCCAGCGTTACCTTCTGCATGACCGGTGTGCCGCTACCCTGCTGCGTCGCCTGCGCGTACCCCTGCAGCTGCTTGGCATTGGCGCTGGCATTCACAGCTTTGTAGGCGCCAATTGTGCCAAACTTTTGCTGCTGCTGCTGCTTGAGCGCGGGCGTTGCCGTCACATACGGCAGATTCTTAGCATTCACATAGCTGAGCTGCTGCTGCTGCTGTTGGTGTTGTGACTGGGAGGACAGGGCGGGCGCCTGTTTGGACAGCACCGTGAGATTACTGAGCAACAGCTTCGAGTTATGCGGCGGTGTTGCAGCGGAGGTGTCGATGATGACGTTGCTGGTGCTGCCATCGGTCGTGACAATTTTGTAGATCTGCGGATTGAGCAATTCATGTTGCTGCTGCTGTTGCTGGGGCAAATGTTGCTGCTGTTGCTGTTGCGCTGTTGTCGTACGCACCGCGTACTTCTGGGCGGGCTGCGCCTGAATGGACATGCGCCGCTGCATAATCCGCTTCAGCTGTGCCTGCGTCGACAAGCTGCTGCCATCAATCACAATGTGTGGTGGATGCTGCTGCTGTGGCCCACTGATCCCGATTCGTGTGCTGGCGCTGCTATTGCTTGTACTGCTGCTGCTATTGTTGCCGCTGCTACTGCTGCTGCCGACGACAGGCTCCACGAAGACCGTATCATGCGTGGACATGGGCATTTTTACAAAGTTCAATTGCTCACAAAATAATATTCTTTTTTTTATATATATTATCTCTTTTTTGTTTCTATATTTATAGAAGTGGTTTAAACCTAAGTTAGATGGGGCGGGGGAGGCTGCTTTTAACTGGTGCTAAGTTTTTGTTGCTCTTCTTTTTGCTGCTGCTGTTTCCGCTGTGTATTAACTTTTGGCATTTCACAACACTGCCTCACTAGACATCTTATTCACTAGAAGCTTTTCCCGCTGCGGCCGCCGATGATGTTGCTGCTGCTGTTGCTTTAATATTTTTGTATTTTGTGACTTTAGTCGCGTTGCACTGCAGTTCCTATTGCTGCTGCTGCTGCTGCAGTTGCTGCTGCTTCTATTGGTGATGGTGCCCCCAAACCTATGGGGGCCTAATGCATAACCAGAAATGCTCTGTTCGGCGGTGTTTGCCTGACCGCTGCTTGCGGTTGCTAATTGTGGGTGGCGCGCATTCAAATTGCATAAACGATTTCCAACACTGTGCCACATTACATTGTTAGCCATTACAAACATAACGGTGCGTGTATTGTCTCTCTTTCTTTTGCCTCTACTTCTACCAAGTCGACGCTTCCGTTTTGGTGCGCCTCCTGTTAACTGTAGCTTTGCAAGTTCTATTTTAGCACTCGTTGTTCTTGGTTTCGGGTGTGTGTCGTTGTTTTATTATTATTATTATTTTGCTTCTTATTGTTGTTGTTGTCCAGCACAACGAAACTGCTTTAAATTTAACTCATTAAACGATCCTTCGTTGTATGTTCCATTTGCTGCAATGATATAAAGAGAATAGTTTTTAAGTTTTATTTACTATAAACAATAAATAAATATAGGTAATTATAAATCAGATTATTATTTCTTCTCATTCAATAAATAAACAAATGCTAAGAATATTCAGAAACTAATTTAAATTTTGCAACCGATTATCGATTAGTGTGTCTGATTTATCGCCACAGCGTTGCCAGATGCCAGTTTGTTGCTTATGTAATGACAAATACCAAACGCATGCGCGTTACAAATTCTTGTATATTTTTTTCGTTTGCTTTTTGTGTGTCGTTTGTGCTTACACTTGCAGCGCGAGCAGAAGAAACCAACCCGTCAAAACTTGTTAATAGAGAGAGCCAACACACAGAAAACAACGCGAACATCAAGCTGCCAAAGCAGTCAAAGCAGACCAAAGAAATACGTTATGAACCTGCATTGTTTACATTTGTATGCGTGCGCAAGTACAGTGGAGCCAAACCATCATTTCCTTTGCCCCCTTTTAAATCACTGTGCACTTTTGCTCAGATAAATAAAACCTGTTATTTTGACTCGTACTCAGGGCAGTCAATCAATATTTATGGGCACTTCTAATACTAAGGCATTAATACTCTATAATAAATGGTAAGAGTTTAAGTTTCAGTTTCAAGTTCCTATTAGAATAGAACTCTTTCAATTTTACATTAATATACATTTTTATTTGTTTTACTCGTATATATTTATTTCATTCGTTTTTTTTTAGTTTCTAAATTATATGGTTTGATTTGTTGTTTACATCCATCCAGCAGCATTATCTTATTTAGTATATTTCTCTTTCTACTTCGGCTCATTGTTTGGCATTTCTGCTATGCGCATGTTTCTCTAATTTTATAGCTTTTTTCCGGTTTCTCTGCACCTAGCTATTCGCATTTACAATTTACACACATAGCTACTATATATGTACATATATATAAACCGTACTGTAAAAGTGCATGTGTGTGCATATGCTTGTAGTTTTGCTTTGCTTTTGGTCGTTACCAAAGCCAAAGCAAAAAGTGAATGCACTAATTTTGCCTTGGCATCCGGCGCGGCATTCATGGCAGTCGACGACATCGTCTTATTTGCCGCTGCATTGTTGTTATTGTTGTTGTTGCTGCTGCTGTTTGCAGTATCTATTGCTAGTTGTCTCGTCTCCTCTTGGGCTGCACTTGGCTCTCGCAGTTACTGAGTGCGCGCCTATTGAAATTTCATTTCTAATTGAGACGAAGGCAGCGAGGGCAACACACATTTGCATCGACCGCTGCTCAATTGAATGCGCGATGCATGTGTTTATTCTGTTGTTGTTTTGTGTATGCCTTTACTTTGCCATCAATTGACACAAAAATAAAATAAATAAAGAGAAAATAAACCGCAAAATTCACCAGAATTGCGAAATGTTAATTGCACAGTCAATGTGTTTATGTAACCCCATGATATGTGTTATAAATATGCATCTATGCAAATGCTTTTTCCAAATGTTTAACACAAATTAACAATGTATAACAGCTTATTTAGTCAGTTATGTAACGGTGCAATGCCTACTCTTAAGCGTATGCAGATGCTTAAATGTAATTTAATATTCAAGTATTCTTTCAATCTTTTAATTTTTCTGTTACACATACATATACATATATGTTTTTAAAGGCCTACGCATATGCATGTATGTGTAATCATGTGTGCTCACATGAATTATTTCCGTTTCATGTGTTTCCCAATAACAGCGACAAATAACAACAAAGTGCGCACAGCCCCAAGATAACAAACAGCAGCAACATATATGTAGACTCGTACGTATATATATACATATGTATGTATTTAAGTATATAAAACATCGTATTAAAAAAGCCAACAAATTATAAAATAAGCGGGCATTTTTACATGTAGTTAAGTTACTATATCTAACACACTAGCACATGGGTACAACCAAATGAGCACACACGTCACTTAAGCGTAAATGCGAAAAAAAAATGTATTAGCAAAGCTATAACCCTACCCCAACCAACTTCTAAAATGCGCGCCATAAACAATTTACACTCGCGTAAATCGCTGTTCGTGTGCGTTTGTATGTTCATGTGTGTGAATAGCAAACTTCCGAGAGAGCATGTTTGAATGCACAATAGAACATATTGACACAAACACATACACATGCATACGAACTCTGCGAATGACCACGGTGCTTTTCTATTTGCTTTGCAAACGTTAAAAAGAGAAAGAAAGAACTCACTGTTTAGGAAAGCAAAGGTTGGGCACTGTCACTCACGGCGTCAGGTCATAAGCAAAGCAAAGCGAGTCAAAGCTTCCCAATTTAAAAAATGAGCGAAAATCTAATCGGAACAAACGATCGATAACAATAGCAATACACACTGTTTATCGACTACTCGCAATCGCACTCGTAGACGTTGTAAATACATCACTACGTGTGACTTGATTACAGCAATAAGACAGCTAATTTTGGCATTGCATTCCCACTATGCAGACATCAATACATCATGAGCAGCCCCACACCCAGTCTCAGACACGCCTACACTTTGCATGGCACACTCTATCTGTATTTGTGTTTTGCATATGGGTTTGTTGTTCATGATGCCACTTCTCGGCTCAATGTTCCGAGTGTCAACTAATTGCGTCTTATTTTTTTATTTGTCGCGCGTACTTTATACGCTTGTATGCCCATGCACATGCCCCACTGGGCAGGCATATTTGAATAGTTCTATTGGATAAGCCTCGTACAGCCTCATACAATTTGCACATCTGTTTAATTGCCTATCTATAGGGTATTAATATGAAGCAAAATATATTAAGTACTAATAAGAAATATATAAATTTTCATGAAATACACATGTACTTGTTCATATTTATATAAATGCGTATGTAATCTAATAGGTTACACATTTAGAAACTTCTTGCACATCCTCTTTCTCTTATGATACTTATGCATGTGTACGTATTTGGGTGCATATGTATTAATACATACATACAGCTAATACACATGCATATATTTTTGGCGGGGGTGTATTCGCGGCAAATACTGACATCCCTTGAAATATCGAATATTTTTGATTTTCCATTGCATTGTTCAGATTGGGGGTTTGTGCATATAAGTTTCGTATGCGCCAAACGAATACAAATATACATATTAAAAACTTGTCCATCGACTTTTGCTTTCATTTTTGCCCATACCACAGAAAGTAGCGAAAAATCATACAGAGCAGGCGAGGCAAAAATCACATATGCGTAAAGAGTAGCATCGGCGGCGTGTAGTTTGAACTATGCGAGAAAAAGAGACAAACATATGACACACATACCAATAATGTGAACAACTGCAGCCAACTTAATGGAGTACAAGCGTGCAACAGCGAGAATTGATAGTAAATCATTTGACGAAAACATAACACACGATTGGAGTGTACAGCAAAAATGAGAAAACCAAAGGAAATTGAAAAGAAAAAATCTAAGCAACGGCGGTACTGTTCTAGCATATAAAATTTGTATGAAACGCAATTTCAAAATGGCGGAAAATCGCAAATACCTCAACCATATATTTAAAAGAATTAATTTTGTAAATAAGACGTTCCAAACTATTTTATTTTTGTTCGTTGTTGATGCGCATGTCAAAACAATACAGCATGAAAAGAAATATAATGTGGTTGAAGACTTAAATGTACCTACAAAAGTGCATTTGCTTGCAAACAATTTGGAGTATAAATATTATGGCCCTATTGTAAACATTCTATTTCATATATTTAATGAACAATTTTTACTAAAAACATTTAATTCACATTTTATATACATATGTATATATTTACTTTACTTTGCATAGCTGGCAACTCTGTGGAGCTCTATTATGCACAACTAACTTCACGTTGCACAAAAGAAAATAGCAAGCAAAACAAACGAATGCGCAAGCTATATGCCACACGCGTTAGTGGGACAGAGAACAATATATTTTTACATTGGGGGAAAAATATGAAATTAAATATGGCGACGCACTGCGCGAAAAAAAAATAACCCGAAAATGACAATAGCACTGTAAACATTTAATTTGACCAACATAAGCACTAGTAAATAATATCGGACTTTATTGCAGCACATATAAACCCGGACTAGTTTAATTTTCAACTGACAAACAAATTAATCAACTAACATTCCTATATGCAAGTAACCAAAATTTACGCGCGCATTACTGATGTTGTGCTTAGAATGTTTTACTTACCGTGAATGATTATATAGTTTCACTTCATTGTACACAACACTAATTTAAATGGCAAGCTCTGATTTTGTTTTAATGTGTCGCCTTTGCTTTACTTGATACTTGAATTTTGTTTTGCATTCACTTGCTTATGATCTGGTTTTTTTTTTTTTTTTTTCTCCTTTTATTTTAATTTTAAATGCACACACAGTAATTTGGCTTGCAGGTTTTCTTGTTTCAAAACGCGGCGTTGTTTTAACGTTTGCTGCCTGCTTAAATAAACGTTTACACTTTGATTAATCAATTTTATTATTAATACGTATGGCATAAGAAACAACGAAAATGCGCACAAAACACGTATTGAGCGTGTAACAGAGTGAGATAACTATACTGTGTTGTGCTGCGCGCGCACTTGTATTATAACAGCAACATATAGTGTGGCCGTTTTAGCATACGGACATAAGCATGCCAACTAGTAAAAATCCTACCTATTATCGCCTATTTTATTTTGTTCGCGTTGCTGCTTCTTCTACCTGGTCTTTCTTTAGCCTATTACTACTGCGCTTGCCATTCCACAGTGTACTTTATAGTGCTGTACGTACATTAATTTTGTCTTTCTGTCTGTTCGTCGATACATACATATATGCATGCATGTACACACACGGCGCCACTGAAATATGTACCTACGTACCTACATATATAAAAATCTATACGCGGATATTGCCGCTCTTATACACAAAATTTTTAATATTTTAATATTGATATACAATGATTTTTTAGGGTAAACATAACCGCCAACTAGAGAAACGAAGCGGCGCAAGTTTACTGCTATTAAGTAGATATTTAAATACACTCAAAAGTTAACTCTTCGTAGATTTTCTGTCAAATGCACAATGGCAAAAAAAAATTAAACTATAGTTTGATCAAAAATATTTGTAACTACATTTGTACAATTCCTCTTTACATTTTGTACCTCGTTTCGTACTCGCACACAATCACACGCTTAAAAATATACAATGTATGTATGTATGTATATAGACCGCTGCTACAACACTTTAATGGCATCTCGCTTGCTCTAATGTTTTATGCGCATTTTACCTTTCACGTCCTATGTTTTTCATCTTTACCAACACGCTAATAAGATAAATTTTAAAACTACATTTTAAGCTAGAACTAACACGTTTCACCATTACATTTTAGTGCATTGCGTAAGTGGCACTGGAAAACAGCGCACAGAATAATTTTTTAACAATTTATTTGTTGTTTTAACACCTTTAAACGCGTTTCACACTCCGCGTTACTCCGACTCTTCTTCTTGCTCTAGTGTAAACGCAAGAATGTTAACTTATGGTTATGTTAGCCATACACTCTACTCAAATGGCACTTTTAAGTTATTAACAGAGCTCATATTTGTAACAAACATATAGTAACAGTGTTGCGGAATGAATTATTGAACGTCTTGCAGCACTGCCATGAAAGCAGGGATTTCTTTATTATGGCACTGCCAACTTGTTGTTTAAAGCAGCTGGTAAAACAAAAGAGAATAAATAAATAATGCTACGATGGAAGTAAATCCTCTGGCTGTAATACTTGCCTACTTCGACAGCAAAGGCGACCGCCTGCTGTATCGATATCCCTACCACACACTCGGCCAAACGCACAAATCGGAAGAGCCCCGAGAGGAGTTGGTTAACAAAAAACGAAATCCCTTCGCCGTCGCCCACACAGATGATTTGCTGCAGACGCCCACGCAACAGAGCCAGAATCAGCAGGGCACAGGACAACTGCAGGGTTTCGCAGATGACGTACTATCCGCTCTATTCGCTGTCAAGCCACAGTTGTGCAACCAGAAGTTCGAGTTGAAGCTGAACGATGTGCGTTTCGTTAGCCATCCCACATTAATTAGCTCAGCCTCGACAGTTCAGCTAAATGCGGTCAACAGCCAAGCCCTGGCGGCCAGCAGCAGCATAGCAACTGCCGGTGCGGCCAAGAAGCAGCAGATGCTGATCAACATTGTGTTCGCACTGCACGCCCAGGCCAGCTACTCCATCGTCAAGTGCTACCACGAGCTGAGCAAGCGCCTGGGGCTGGCGCTCAAGTTCGAGGAGCAGCGCAGCGGCTATGTGACGGAGCAGACGGCGCTGATGGCGCGTACCCACGACGAGCAACAGCAGCAGCAGCAGCCGCTGGAGCGCACGCTCGAGCTGATTGCGGAGCGCTGCAGCCTGGCGCAGGCCCTGAAGTCCATCTGCAATGATCTCTGCACCACCGGACTGCTGAGCACCACACTAAATCAGAATCTAACGCTGACCTTCTGCCTGCCGGCCAAGGCCCATCAGCTGCACAAGAAGGGCAGCATGGTGGATCCAGAGACGATCGATCGCTGTCTGCGCGCGCTCAAGCCGTATCATGGCATGCTGCTGCTGGTGGACTTTGCTGAGTTGCTCGACTGTGTGCCGCCGACGGGCGCACGAATGCTATGGCAGCTGGTGGATGCCTACAATCCGCTGATCAGCCTGCAGAGCATGGCCTCCAATGCGGATCTGAGCATCGAGCATGTCTATAAGCTGGTCTCTCACCTGGTTTACTGGGCCAAGGCCACCATAATCTATCCGCTGTGCGAGACGAATGTGTATGTGATCGCGCCGGATGCACCGCTGCACACGCGCTCCCACCTGGTGGAGAAGTTCTCCACTCGTTTTGCGGGAATGTCCTTGTTCGAGGTCATCTCGGACTTCTCGCTGCCCACGTCGATTGGACACCTGACGACGCCGCTGCAACAGCCGGCACGCCAGGGCATACTCGCCCAGATGGTGCTCTGGATGCTACAGCATCATCTGCTCATGCAGCTGCACACCTACGTCCAATTCATGCCCAGCGACGTGGACGACGAATTTGGGGAGTCCGCCTCCTGTGCGCATGTCGCCGCCGGCAATCTTACCGAGGAGGAGCAGGACAGCAATCACACCGAAGACGATACTATGAGTCGCGTTCCGCATGATGATCCCGTGCACGGTGGCTCCATGCTTAGCATGTCCAGCCAGCCGCTGCCGATGCCCGCGAATTCGCATCGTCGCCATCTGACGGACGATCACTTCTCCGTCGCCTCCGATAATATTGCGGTGCAGCCCTCATCCAGCCACAAGTCGAACTTTAGCATGACGGCCTCCATGAGTACGGACAACTGTGACAGTCTCGACTCCATGGAGGATGAGCAGAAACTCAAGGAGCTGCTGCAGGTCTTCAGCGATGCCGATCGCGCTGCCATACGTCGTATACCCGCCTCCCTCAACCTGGACGATCTGTCCCTGCTGGTCAAGCTCTACCAGATGGGCTACTTCAAGAGCGAACATCACCTGGAGGAGATTATGTATTTTGAGAATTTGCGTCGCTCCCAGCTGCTGCAGCTGCTCGACAAGTTCCGCGACGTTCTCATCCTCTACGAGACAGAGGATCCGGCCATAGCTTCCATGTACAACAACAAATAGAATTTATAATAAAGCAAGCATTCCAAATGCATTATGAATGTGACTTACAATAGCTAGGAATATTTTTTCGAGATTTGTGTCAAAATTTGTCAAAATGAATAACAGAATTTTGTCGCTAAGCCTGTGTGGTGAATATTGACAAGTTGTCAAATTGACAACTTAATAAGTCAAAAGTTAGCTTCTCGAATATCAATATATAATTGATTTCTTTCTGAATATAATACAATATATCGGAAAGTACTAATAGTCGCCTGCATAAATATTGTCTAACAATTTTACTAATGAACTGAGTTATATCCCTTAATTTATTATCCATCAGAATATACTATCTGGCTATTTTGATTTAAAAATAATATGTTTTAGATTTTTTAAATGAGCTTGGTAAGTAAGTTTAGACACTACTATTTAGTTACCAAAGTTTTCTTAGGTTCGTCGAAATTGTCAAGGCCTTGAGCAAGACAAAATTATTTATTATATTATTAAATTACAATTAAAGAGTACTATATCCATAAAATGATTAAAAAATAAATTAAAGTCAGGAATTTAAAGAATATGGACTATTTAGCTATGTATTCATTTTTTTTTTAGATTCGGTATGTTTATCAACTTTATTTTGCCTGTTTAACGTAACGTTTTTTTTTTTTTTTTTTTTTTCTTTTTAAATATATAAAATAATACAAACTAGATAAATCTATAAAAAAAAAGCTGCAATAAATTCATCCAAAATTTTTGAGCAAACAAGGTGCATAGAATTAAAAAGAAAACACTTTTGTTGTTTACATACATAACATAAGCTTTATTTGTTGAGTATACCTAACTAACATTGAGTTGACTTGAACAACGTGGACTTTATCCAAGTCGAAAAGGTGCTTAAAATTCTAATAGCCAGCCGATTGAAATTTCTGTGAAACGTTTCGTATACGCCTATACATATATATAGATATACAGATATATATGCCTAAATCTAGTTTACAAAAATATATATATATATGCATATGTACTCGATACATATATATAAATGTACTTTTTTCTTACAGTTAGATTGTAACTAGCTAATATATAGATGTGATAGATCTTTTTAAATGACTCGATTCGCAGCTGAACTGCCATCAGCGCTTTGAGTTTGAGGTGCTTACAAAAAACAAAGCAGAGTTTTTATCAATTTGTCTTGATAACGATCCATGCTATATATATATAAATATATATATATGGTGATATATGTAAATCTAAACGATTCGTGCCCAATTTTCATCAGTATTGACGCAATCAGAGGACTAGACTCGCATTCACAGCTCACAGGCTCGATGAAAATGTGGGTTCATTGATGATGTTTGGGTTAAGAGGTGGATCAAGCTGTTAGCAGCAAATAAACGAAGACAGCTTGTCGCTAGGATTTGTTGTTGTTGCTGCTGTTGGAAATATTGTTGTTGTACAGATAAGGTATCAAGTTGGGTTCGATTTCCAGCTGCTGCCGCAGTATGGAGCTCATCACAAACTCCGTGGAGACAATATGGCACTTGGGATTGCCATGACGCGTCAGATCCGCGCACAAATGCATATCCGTTGGGCAGGTAACAATGATATATGAGTCGGGCGCTTGCACATGCGCCTCAGCGACAGCCGCACCGCTGCGCCGTTTCAGCTCCACTTTGCCGCCAGATGATTCGATCATGCGTATGATTTCATCACGTGCCGGAAATACATCCGGCGTCACATAGAAGTATTTGCCTGCAAAGAGTGTGGAACGTGTCGGCGCACACAGAACCGCATCCAAATCGAACTGCAAGTTCTCATCGACGGGTATGTGGCGAATGCGATACTCGTCAGGCGGCACAAATTTGCCGGCCTTTGCGCTATCTATCAGCCAGGTAGACTTGAGCACGTAGTCAACGTGGCAACAGGCCTGAATCAACTTGCAGGTGCGACTCTCGCGTGTCATGACCAAGTGTGTTGCATCCGTCGGACTGTCCACCACAATGCCGCCCAGCAGCCTGCAGAAAATTAAAAGTCGTATATATATAAATACATTGAATCATTATTTTTCTTATTCATCAACTCACTCGACAGCTTTCTTGAGCGCCTCCGCATCGGCGACCTGTGAGAAGATGACCTTGGGCGGCTTGGTTGTCTGCGGATATTCAATGCAAACAATTTGCTCGGGCAGATGCTCCTGGTAGACGCACAATTTCTGGCGTTTCAGCTTCTGCTCGTTGGCATACGGATCGGAAAGATGACGCTTGACGCGCTCATGCGCTTCCTGGGTCAGATTAATGGGCGCCTTCCAAGCGGCTGCAATTAGACGGCAAATGAATCGTTTAATCCATAATTCTATGTAATTAATAACATTTCAATTTCTCACCTAGCAAATGCTGCACCAGATTGCATTCAATGCGGAACGGTGCGGCCAGATTGTACTGCTGATACTTGGGATTCTCGTACTGGGTCAACCCACTCAGATTGCCGATGCAGACATCGCTCAGCCAGAGGGCATTCACCATCGGAATGTTCCACTCTTTGGCCGCATTGTATTTATTGCCTTCCAGCTGCTTGCAGACGACGAGCGTGTTCACCTTGGACAAATAGGAGGTGTAAATGGCGCCACACTCCTCGGCCATCTGTTGCAGTCGCACCACCTCTTCGCCTTCGAAGCCCTCCGAGGTGATGATGTAGCGCTCCAGCGGCTTGCGATAGCCAAACTGACTGGGGAAGGGCAGATGCAGGGGCTGCCAGGGCGGCGTCAGCTGTCGCTTCAGGCAGATATCGCTCAGCCAGTAGGCGGTCACACAGCGCTTGGCATCCCGCAGCGCCTGCATCACCATGCCATGGCGCTGGGTGCGGCAGATGACGTGGGTGACGCGGGCGCAATAGACGCGCTCGATGTCGCCGCCAAACTGTCGAATGGTGTCCAGCCAGATGGGCAGCTCATCGCTGTCCGTCTCGTCGTATTCCACGATGTAGAAGGTGCAGCCGACCAGGAACAAATCCGGGGGTAGCTTCAAGTTCGGATTATGGCCATAGAACTGGGGCCGCGGTGGCATCGGAATGGGCGGCTGTCCGGGACGCACCTGCATGTAGACGTGCGGTGGTCCGCCGGCCACCTGTACGGGCACGCCCACTGGCAGCTGTTGTTGCTGCATGTTGGGCGGTGCAACCACAATTTGTTGCTGCACGAGATGTTGTTGCGGCAACTGTTGCTGTGACACGCCGACAACTCGTCGCATTTGTTGTGGATGCTGTTGCAGCAATTGCTGTTGTTGTTGCTGCTGCTGCTGCTGTTGTTGTTGCTGCTGTTGTTGCTGCAGCATCAGCAGCTCCTGCGGTGTGCGCGGCTGGCCGGGCACGCCCACAGCAGCATTATGCTGTTGTCCCATCATGCGTAACGTGCCAGCTGCCGATGGTGTCTCCACATGTTGCTGCGCTCCAGACGGCAGCTGTTGCTGCTGTGCCACAACTAGCTGTTGTTGCTGCTGCTGTTGCAGTAGCAATTGTTGTTGCTGCTGCTGCTGCTGTTGTGGTGTGCCGCCGCTGACAACAACTTGTTGTACAATCTGCTGCTGCTGTTGTTGTTGCTGCTGCTGCTGTTGCTGCTGTACATCGCTCATGGAAATGAGTTGCTGTTGTTGTGCCGGCGCCTGTTGTCCATTGTTGCCCAGGCGATTGCTCAGCATATTGGCCAACGCCGTTTTCGTCTTCAGGTTCATCTGCTGCGGCGTCTGTTGCTGTTGTTGCTGACCATCAGGAGCTGGGTCAAAAGAAGAATCTGCATTAGTCACTAAGATCAATCCAAATCTAATTACGAACTCACCTGTTGCTGACATGACCAATGTCTGTGTCATTATATTGCCTCCTGGCGCACCGCCTACAACGACGCCTGTGCCAGGCGTGGTGGGTGTGCCCGGTGTGGGCGGCTGCTGCTGCTGCTGTTGGCTCTGTTGCTGCACAATGGTTTGCTGCTCGATAAGCTGGCCATTGGGTCCGGGTATCAACTGCACCGTCTGTTTGCCCAGCTGCGGCGCCGGCGCCGCTTGCATGGGAATTTGCTGCACGCGCAGCTGTTGGCGCTGCAACAACATTTGCTGATTAGGATCATTGGGATTGAACTGTTGCTGTTGCTGAGGTAGTTGTTGCTGTTGTTGCTGGGCACCACCCGGCGGTTGCTGCTGCTGTTGTTGCTGCGTAATCGGACTCAGGCCGGGCGCACCACTAGCACGCACTACCACCTGACGCGTGCCCTGCTGCTGCAGCCACAACATTTGCTCCTGCTGCGTGAGTCCGCCTGGCATTTGACTCTGCACAATGATGTGCGAAGTGCCTGGCCCCGGCACCGGTACTGGGCCCTGTGCACGTGTTGCCACCACGCTGCCCGGTGCGCCGGGACGCGGCTGGTAGGCCACCTGCTGGCGCAGCATGACACGTGGCTTGCTCTGATTCAGTTTCGTTATGTATTCGGCACGTTTGTGCGCATCCAGCGACATGAAGTGCGCATGCATCTTCTCGTCCAATTGGATCAGCTGGCGCTGCTGCTGCTGTTGTTGCGGCGGTGGCAGCACAAGCTGTTGTTGCTGCTGCTGCGGTTGTTGCGATTGCTGCTGTTGTTGTTGTTGCTGCTGCTGCTGCTGTGCGGTCCATGGTGTCTGTGGGCGCAGACCGCGCGGCGCAAATTGTGGCGCTTGTTGCTGGGGCGTGGTGGGTGTGCCCGGCAAGGGCGACTGCATGCCCATGCTCGTGGTGGGCGTGCCTGGTGTGGTGGGCGCCAACTGATTTGTCACAGGGCTCTGCGGCGACCAATGGGGCTGCTGCTGTTGCAGTTGCGTGTGATGTTGAGGCGATTGCTGCTGCAACATCAGCTGCTGCTGCTGCTGTTGTTGTGGCGATTGTGGCGGTGGCGTGCGCTGTGGCAGATGCTGCTGCTTAATAAGTACTTGCTGCATGATCTGCTGAGGAGGCTGCTGCTGCTGTTGCTGTTGTGGCACTGGCTGTTGCTGTTGTATAAGTATTTGCTGCTGTTGCTGTGGTGGTCCGACAAGTTGTTGCTGTTGTTGCTGTGCCTGCTGCTGTTTCTGCTGTAGCAATTGCTGTTGCTGTAAATATTGCAAGCGCTGTGGATCGCTGATGACTTGCTGATTGATCACAATTTGTTGTTGCTGTTGTGGCGCCTGCTGCTGCTGCTGTTGCATTTGCAGCCGTTGCTGTTGTTGCTGCTGTGTGAGCAGTTGCTGTTGCATTTGTGGAGGCGCCTGTTGCTGTTGTGGTGATTGTTGCTGCTGTGCCAACATCATTTGATTTGGTGGCATCTGCTGTTGTTGCTGCTGCTGCTGCTGTTGTTGCTGCAATAGTTGTCGTTGCTGCACAAGCTGTTGCTGCTGCTGCTGTTGTTGCTGCGACAGATTCGTGGAATTTACAATGAACACATTTTGGTTTTGCTGATTCTGTGCCAAAATCTGCTGCTGCTGCTGTGCGCTTAGCTGGCTGAACTGCTGTTGACTTATGATAAACTTTTTGGTTTGCATGGGTTGTTGTGGCTGTTGTTGCTGCTGCTGCTGCTGCTGCTGCTGCTGCTGTTGTTGTTGCAGTGGCTAAAATCAGATTGATTAGAAAGTCCATTAGAAACATTTCCGTAATTGACTAGTATGTAAACTTACGTGTTGTTGCGGCTGCTGCGTCAGCACTTGCTGCTGTTGTTGCTGCTGTGGCTGCTGCGGAAACTGTTGCCCCAACAAGTGCTGCTGCTGTTGCGGTGGCTGTATCGTTTGTTGTATAATACGCACCTGACCGCCACTGCCAAGCGCAATATTTTGCTGTTGCGTAAACTGCACTTGTTGTTGTTGCTGCTGCTGCTGCTGCGGCTGTGGTTGCAGCTGCTGTTGCTGTGGCAATTGCTGCTGTTGTGCCTGCTGTTGCTGCTGCTGCTGAGGTATCATTTGATGTTGCTGTTGCTGCTGCTGCTGTTGTTGTTGTTGTTGCTGCTGCAACTGCAACATTTGCTGCTGCTTCTGCTGCTGTTGCTGTATGCTCATCATGTGACTCTGAATTATCTGTTGTCCCTGTGCGGTTGAAGTGTTTATCACGTGTCGCTGGGTGATCACTTGCTGCTGTTGCTGTTGCTGCTGCTGTTGTCCAGAGGCGAGTTGTTGTGATATTTGTTGCGGCTGCTGCTGTTGAGCTTGCATTTGCTGTAACGACTAGAAAGGAAAATAATTATGAGTATACAGAGACATAATCTATATTTCAGATTCACTTTGAGCAATCCTTTTGTTAGACATACCCTCTCTGGTTGTGGTTGTTGTTGCTGTTGTTGCGTTACTTGTTGCTGTTGTTGCGTTGCTTGTTGCTGATGCAGTGGTGATTGTCGTGGCGAGGGTGTATGTTGTTGTGTAGGCATTTGTTGCTGCTGCTGTTGTTGTTGCTGTAACTGCTGTTGCTTCAGCTGCTGCTGCCGCATTATCAGCGAATCCTGATTGCTTGAAAGCGTCGAACGACTGAGCACTTGAGCCACTTGCACCGGATCTGTTGGATCGATGGGCTGGACAAATGATTGCTGTTGTTGTTGCTGCTGCTGATGCTGTGCTGCCTGCTGTTGTTGCTTGTTGGCCATGGGCGGTGTTTGTGATATCTGCGGTGATTGCGGCGCTGAGATGTGCTGCGGACTCTGTTGTTGCTGTTGTGCAAGCTGCTGTTGTTGCTGTTGCTGCTGCAGTTGCATGCGTTGCTGTTGATGCACAGGTTGCTGAAACGGCTGCTGTTGCGGCGACATCATGGATGTTGGCGTCGGCTGTTGCTGCGGACTGCCCATCATGTGTTGTTGCTGCTGCTGGCGGCTCTGTTGCAATTGTTGTTGTTGCTGACGCAAATGCTGCTGCGCACTTTGTGGCGAGGGTGGCGGTGGCGGCGTCATTTGTGGCGCGGGCGACTGCAGTTGTCGCGGCGACTGAGGCGGCAACATGTTGCTCAAGTGCTGTTGCTGCTGCAGCGAAGGTGATGGTGTGCCGGGTGGCATGACTGGCGAACGATTTTGGACCAATCGTGGTGATTGCTGCTGCTGTGGCTGTTGTTGCTGCTGCTGTTGTTGTTGTTGCATTTGCTGCATTTGTATTTGCAGCTGCTGCTGCTGTTGCAACAGTTGCTGTTGCTGCTGCTGTATCTGCCGTTGCAGCGCCTGTTGCTGTGATGTCAGGCTTTGGCCATTTTGAACATGTTGATGCAATTGCATTTGTTGCTGCTGCAGCATCTGCTGCTGTTTCATGATGTGCTGATGCAGAGCTTGCGGCGAGACGGGCACCGACTGTTGCTGTTGCTGATGAGGTACCTGTTGCTGTTGTGCCACCTGTTGCTGCGGCGACTGCACGGGCTGCGGTGTTGTTGCAGGCTGAGGCGTGCGCGGTGTTTGGCGTCCACTGGGCATGGATGGCTGGGGCATGGTGGGCGTGGTAGGCAGACGTGGCTGTTGCTGTTGTTGCTGCTGCTGAAGTAGAAGTTGCTGTTGCTGGTCCTGTTGCTGCATCAGCTGCATTTGCTGTTGTTGTTGCTGCTGCTGTTGTTGTTGCTGTTGTTGCTGTTGCTGTTGTTGCTGCTGTTGTTGCTGCTGCTGTGTACTCTTCATTTGCCGCTGCTGCTGCAAGATGTGCTTGATCTGTTGTTGCTGCTGCTGTTGCTGCAGGTTGGCTGGTATGATTTTTTGTTGTTGTATTATAATTTGCTGTTGCTGCTGTTGATTGGGCGGCGGCGGTGGCGGTGGCGCTTGGGGTGCGCTCTGTTGCTGCAATTGCTGTTGCAATTGTTGCTGCTGCTGCAGATTCCGTGGTCGCACAAAAACAACCTGCTGCTGCGCTGGTTGTGGCAATTGTTGTTGTTGTTGCTGCTGCTGCTGTTGCAGTTGTTGTTGCTCGGCTGCAGCGCGCTCTGCCGATGCCTGCAGCTGGGACTTAATGCTGGCTATGCTCTTAGCAGCGCTGTCGTCGCCGAAGCCCAGTATATCAGAGAGCTGAGATGCTGCTGGGGGCTGTTGTTGCTGCTGCTGTTGCTGTTGTTGTGGCAATTGCTGAACTAAATGTTGCTGTTGCTGTTGTTGTTGCTGCTGCTGTGCTAATTGCTGCTGCAATTGTTGCTGCTGCTGTTGTTGTTGCTGCTGTTGTTGTTGTTGTTGCTGCTGTTGTTGTTGCTGCTGTTGCTGTAGATTTTGTTGCTGCTGCTGCTTCTGCGCACGTTGTTTCTCGATTGGTTTCAGCAATCTGGGATGATAAGGCTCACAGGGCAGGCAGCTCTTGCATTTGATACAATCGGTGACCCAATCGGGCGTAACGATATTCATTGCATTCTTAGGGAGCGCCAGCGCTTTATTATAAATGGTCCCAGTGGCGGCGCCGCATACCAGATGCGTATTGGTTGCCCCATACGTGTTGGTGACAACGGCTCCGTGGAAGGTCAGCATAGCATAGAGACGCCTCCGATCGCTGGGCACCACGTTTGTAATAGCTGCCCGTATGCCGCGCAAGAAACGCGGCTGGCTGGGATCGAAGGCACGCGTCGAGGCCATGCGACCCAGCTTGACGCTGTGCAATATCCATTGCTCGATCACAGGTATCACATTGTAGAGGTCCAGATTCATGGACAGCTCCTCCTCGGAGTAGTTGCTGGCACATATCAAATGCGTGATTTGGTCGGAAAGGAAAAGCTTCGATTGTGCGCCGCCGTTCTTAAGCAAGCGCTCGCTCTGCAAAAAGTAACAAAAAGAGATTTATTCAGTTTCGAAAGAATCAAGTTTAGAGACGTGCAAACTTTAATATTGTGTGCAGGGCAATTGCTAAATATGTATATTAAAACTGTTAACAATTAGAAGGCTCAATGGTATTCAAGTGTATAATTATCCAACATAATTACAAATTAACTATTTTAACATTTAAATATTTTGATATTCATATAAATTTCCGTAGTAAAAGTTCGCCAATGTATCGATCAACTCCAATATAATATACATCTCTAATTAATACATTCAAGTAAGTCTATTAATATTCAATAAATTTAGAAATTAATAATAAAAATCTAGTTTGGAGCTATTATAAAATCTAAATATTCATATAAATTTTGCTAATCACATTTCGCAATATATCGCTCATCACTATCTACACACACACATACACACACTCATATGCCTAGAAATTTGCCGGCAACATTTTATGGCGCGAATTTGGACATGCATAAACATGAAACTCCCTGTGCTGCCAGCACTGATAAATTTTCCTTCGATATACAATCAACAACAAATGTATTGTTTTTATGTCCAAAAGACACGTTTAATGTTTATTTGTTAATTGCATTAGTTAAAGTCGCCCTGTGGCCTGTACAGCTGCATCAGCAACACACAAACACTAAACTATAATCCTACACGCGCGTACACATGTAACACTCACACACGCACACAAACACACAATGCCAAATAATACAACAACGGGCGCGCACGTACAGCCCTTGGGTCTTCGTCTGAGAAGTCTCAATGTTTACCTCATCATCCAGGCTGCCAAGCACATAATAGATCACATCCTCGAATAGCTTTTCGCTTATTTTCAAATTTTCCATTTCTTTGTTATTTCTAGACTAGCATGCGCTATTCCTTTTGCTCAAATTTCACTTTTCTTTCGTTTCGCTTTTGTTGTTGCTGCGGCTGCCGCGGACATGGATATGGTAAGGCCTGCAGCTTCACTTTCACTGAGCACCCATCGCACACGATCGGTAAAATTTCAAAACTAGCACAACGTATAAGAAAAGAAGCGCTTGAATTGTTTAAATACATTGAACTAAAGCCTAAATAACTTGTATTCTTTTATATTTTACGGAAGCCCATCCGTCTCTTGTATGCAACAAAAACCAACGCTAGTGATGGTCATCTGCCATATCGATTGACTAATACCAGATATCGAGTACAAGTCGATAAAAAGGTTAACATCCTGTGCTCGATAATTTGCTTAACATCATTTTTCTATGTAAACACTGACTGCTAACAGATTTCTGTATAAAAAGCGGACGCAAAATATTAAACTGTTCATTTGCTTTGGGGATATTGAAGGATTTGTTTGGTGAGTTGAAGCTGAATAAATTTTTAATCACTCGACAAGTGGAAACCTGTATTAAATAGTCTGCTAAACTACGTAATAAAGTGTTCAAATTAGGTTCTAATTTATAAACTTTTAAATATATTAATTTGCTTGATTTTTTTTTATACAAATACACGTTGGCCTATACATATTATTAGCTTATGTTTTATAATTTTTTATCTTAACACATTTAAGACATATAGATCTTGAAAATGATTCCTTACCAGTTTTATTTTATTAACTCTGTTTTGCTTAGTTTTTACTATGTATTTTTCTATTTTCGGTTTGATGTATTCTTTGTTCTTTTCTCTTTTTTTTTAATAATTTTTAAATTTTTGTTGTAAAACATCTACAGAGTGGGAAATTCTCTTTAGAAGCGTAGAAAATCTCTTGTAAGTAAATTATTTGATATTGCGATTGCATAATTACGGATGTGTTTTGGGTTGTTTAAATATTCATATTGTTTTTGTTGTTGAAAATAGAGGAAAAGCAGCGCCTCCTGCTCATAACTGGGCTGGGAGGAGAGACGCGAGAATAGCTCCAGCAGCTTGTTCGAATTTCTTGTCATGCACGACGGCGCTCTTCATCAGTATGAATCATGAGGCGCTGTTCGATTCGCCGTTACTCTCATGGAAATTGGTGCCATTCACAATAAACGAAGTGCCCAGGCCATACAGATGACCCGAATATTTCGCATGGTCGATATTATCCTCAAAGAACATCTGAAAATAAATAATATTTAATAACAGTTTCGACAAGTATAACAGCTACTATGTGTATAACAGTTTGTATGTGTAGAACAGTTTAATTACTATTTGAAATTGGACAAAAAGAAGTTAGTTATTGTCTTTAAAATTTAGAATGAGTTAGTAAGGCATTAATGATAAGCAACATGAACAAACATTTAGATGAGACTATATAAGCATATATGTATATGTGTTTATGAAGTGTGAAGCAACAAAGAAGATATTGAAAAACACAAGAAGATATTTTTACATAGATAAATAAATTTCAAGTTACATACCATTTACCAATTTGTGATGTCGAAATTATATATATTTTTTGTTTAATTTTGCTTTGAGCAAACGATTTTTGTAAAACTATTTTTAAACGGGTTAAACACTTGCTATTAATAACATTCCACAGTGCAATGAAAACTTTATGAAAACATTATCCCAATTCACTCAAAATTATAACGATAAAAGAAAACATACGCTTTGGTATTAGACACATAATTGTTAAAAATAATTAAAGCACCAGCTTAAACCAGCTTAATTAAAAATAATAATTAAAATATTTATATATACTGCTTCACGAATATTTTATCCCTGTATCACAAAATAATTTTCACTAGATAATAAAATGAAATCTATAAAGAATTAACTATGTATACTAATATTTTTGTTATCACTATCAAATACCGAAATAATATAAATTTGTTTTAGTTAAGATGCAAATTTGTAAGCAATAAATAATGTATTAAAGCAAAATGTTTTGTAGTTAAGCAAATGTGTGCAAGCAGATGATAGTGATTAAAAAATATTTCTGATAAACAAAATACATAAGATATATAGATATAGATATGATATGTGTCAATGTGTACGTAAAGCCCAGAAACCACAAATGATTAACAATAATGAAAAAGAAAATTATTGAATTTCAATTCATTGTTTTAATTTTCTATTCAAATTTCAGCAAACTTAGCTCGTTGCACTGTCTTCATTTTTTTTTTTTTTTTTTTTTTTTTTTTTTTAACATGTTTCACATGATTTCCTTTTTTTTTTTTTTTTTACAACTGTAACTAACTAAAAATGGTTAGAAAATGTGTTTTTTTGTTTGTGTTTTTCTTCATCAAGAAATAAAGTTTGGATTTTTTACAAAAATTGTGTTGGGTTAGGTTTTAGCCGATGAAAGTGCGTTGCATGCAGCATAACAAATAAAATGTATTTCGTATGTATCCAGCGGCGTCTAAAATCTGATTAGGAGTATTATAAATGCGTAAGAAATGATAAAAAAAAAAAAAAAAAAAAAAACAAAATAGGAGGAGTAGGACTATGTACACAAGGAGAGAAATAAGAAAACAATTGTTGAAAGTTAAAAAGAATGTGATTTTGAAACATTAAACCTTAACAACTGATAAATGATAAGTGGTTAATGAAAAAGCAAGATATTTGCAATGCATCCGCGCAATAACAACAACAACAATAACTTCAACAACATAGCTGTGGCAACAGCAGTCACAGCAACACTTGCAACGTTAAGATTGCGTGTTGTTGAGGCTGCTGCTGCTGCTATTGCTTGTGGTGCCCAAGAGGCTCTGGGCACCAGACGATGGCGGTGGTGTGACGGTGCGTGTATAGACTGTGATGGTAAAGCCTACGGCTTGAGAGCGTGTGATTATTTGTGACATGCTTAGGCTGTCGCCGTTCGTCTTAGCTGTTGTCGTCGTCGACGTCGTCGTTGTTGTTGTTGTACTACGGGGACTGCTGAAGCTGCTGTTGTCGCTATTGTCGTCGCAGCTGCCACTGGGGACTGCAATAAAATTATTGCTTCGCAAACTGACCAGAACAACCGACTTAAGGTGCATGTTATGCTCAAGTACATGGGGAAAGAATACACAAGGCTCTTCAATGTCAAAGTGAAAACCAAATGTGTGTTGTACCTCACGCATTTTGAAGAAAGCCATGCCCGTTAATAACGCATCCGAACCGGCCTGATGCTGTGGACCGACACGTCGCAGCTCCAGCTGATCGGCCACTTCCTGCAGGCCGCCCTTCAGATTTTTGCATGACTTCATCAAATATTTAATATCAAAGATATTGGGAAAATATATATGCAGCAACTCAAAGAAGTCGCTCTCGTCCGCGGGTAGATTCTGATCGGTTAACAGCTTCAGGAGATATCCAAAATCGTAGCCGGAGTGAAAGCAAAGCCATTTGATATTATCCATCAGCACAATGCCTGAGCTCATCAGCAGCTCGGCAAAATCGATTGGATCGATGCCGTCCTCTTCATGTTTCTTAAACTGAATTCCTGAATTCTGAAGCAAATCTATCGAGTCTTGCGCATACATATCCTCGCTGCAATAGAGTAACAGAGTTAGGGTATTACCCTTACTAACACGCCAACCTTACCTTAGATTGAACTTAAAGTTGAACTGCCACGTGGAGTAGCCCGGCGGCGTTTTACCATCATCGTCCATAAACGTGAGGCCTAGCTGTATAATCCTCAGCAAATCGACATTACATCTCAGTAATTGATAATGATAATCGGCGGTCGATCGAAATTCACCAACGGGTCGCGCCACAACGCCCGGAAATTCTGTGTCCATGGCAACATAATGATATTTCTGCACTACCTTTCGTATGGTGCGAAACTCCTCTTCTAGATTATGTTTCCACACGTCCCGTATGCCGCACTCCTCATTGCTGGGTATATGCACCTGGCCATGCGCCCCGCCGCTGATGGCCGATGGCATTGTCTGTGAATGGTTAAGCTTTGTATAACACCTTTTGAAAAATATATATATTCGTGAAAATATGTGAATGTTGGTGTTGCGGTTGTTGGAGCCCATTTGAATGATTCGTTTGATTAAGAATTCCTCACAGCCATTTGTCTTCATTCGACTTCTTTTATTTATTATTTTTTTGTTGCTTTTACAATATATATACATATATACATATGCTTATAAAGATATGTATATATGTATACATATAAATATCATATTTTCAAATTTATAGACAAAGAAGTCTCTGGTCCTATATACATATCTAAAATACATATATAAAAACTATTATTAAACAGCATCAACAGACGACTCGATCTATCAAGATCGAAACTTAGCAGGGCCTCAGACATTTCAGTATCTAAAGCAAAGCGGAACGATGATGATTGCAATATCTAATAGATCTATCATTTATCTAGACTGATCTTAAATTTTAATTTTTTCTAGGAATTTGGAATAAAATGGATTTTATGGAAAACTTCGTTTGTTTGTAGCTTAACTGTTTGAAGTTTCAGTATACTTTATCCCTTGATTTTACTATAGTTAATTATGATATAGAATTTCGTCAGAGACTAGCTGACGTTCCTTAAGAAATATACGACTATCATTAGAATTCAGCAGGGCTCCATTTGAGTGTACTATATGCATATAAGGAAGTGTCTAAATAGAAATTTCTTAAATGGAATGTTAGCAACATAAAGATATACGAAGTAGCCAGGCCAATTGGTTAACACAGTCGGAATTAAAGAAAAATTTTTCTGTTTTTGGAGTGCGAATAGTTATTGAAATATTTGCGTTTTTTGTTCTTTGCCAATTTTGTAGTTAGAGAGGTGCTACATAATTTTGCCCGCTGCTTAAGAAAAACCAAATGCACATAAAAACAAAGTGGCAATAGAGAGATCTAATTGGTTGATTTTAAGGATTGGTTTACTTTGTGATTGGGAGTTACTTGGGCGCTACTTACATCGTCGACGGTCGCCGTCTGTTGCTGCCGCTGCAGAGCTGCTTCAGCCACCTTCTCACCAAAGTTAACCTTAAGCTATGTATAAGTAATTTTTTTCTTTCGAGTGTGTTTGTTTGTTTGCTTTTTTCTTATAGTTTGAATTTAGTTCTCTGAGCTTTTTAGTGTGATCTCACAGCATCGCCTGTAAGAGAACGTTAAGCAACGTTGACTTCAAGGCTAGCGAAATTGGAATATTTAAACAACTGTTGGTTGGAATCAACATAAATTGGTAATCAATAATCAAAGAAAATTAACATACATTATCTCTATATACATAGATATTGGAAAGCAATATGCATAATGCTCTCTCGTTTTAATTGAATGATTGCCTCAGCAAGAGTGAAAGGAGTGAAGGAGGAAGAACTTCTAGAATAGAATATAATTTTGAGCAGTTGCTTGCAAACCGCCTGCATGGGGTGCGGTCAAGGGTCATGTGATGTGCATTATCAAAATAATGGCGACACATAGGTATCCAAACAAAAAAGAAGACGATTAGCGACACAATTTAAACTGGGGCACGGCTGAATGCGACTGCAATTTTTGCCGCGCTTTAAAATGCAACCGCCTTTTTTATATTACACACTGTTTACATATATGCATGTGTGTGCGAACGTGTGTTTGAGAGAAAGAGAGAGAGATCCAAGCGCACACATCTACACATTCAATGCAAGTGTGTTTGTAATCAATACACGCATATGCGGAAAATGTGTGCAGTTGAACGTGAAAATCGAAGGCCGCCACCGTTGTAATAAGGAAGCCCTTATGCCTGCCAATGGCCTAAAATAACAATTGATTTGGCATTACCTTGCCTCTGGAAACTTACCCATTTCATAGTATGCTTGGTTGTTTTTACAAAAATGCTTTTTTGGCTGCTGCTGCCGAATGAGTTTCACTTTTCGGGTTCTATATATTTTTGGTATTGCTGCAGTATGCGTTAAGACGGATTTGCGGCTTTGCGAATGGTAACCGAAATGAAGTCCGGTATTAGAGCGATGACTGTGGCGTTAAATAAATTAATTGGCGTAAATGTTGTTTATGTTAAAGTGCCATAATGAAAGAAATGAATCTGTGGTAGTGTTAAAAACAGCGCAATGTTTCTAGTGTTGCACAACGAGAAACCAAGAGACAAAACCTGGGCTGCACAATAACTTGTGGCTCTTTTTTTGGAATTTTGTATAGCTATGTCTTACTGTGAATAAGTATTTAAAATAAACAAACAAAAATATTTCCATTCTCAATGACTTACTAGGTTTAATTTTACTATAAACTTCATTGTTTATTTAAATGACTTACAGTTTCATTCATGTCAAATAGATGGCGCTGCTATCTGCGGTCAAGATGGCAGCTCTTCACAATCAGCTGTTTGAGTTTTAATGCACAATATGCAGCTCGTTTATTGTGTTTATTAAGCATTGTGATATAAAAAAACGTAGTAAGTGAGTAGGATGTGCCATTTGAGTAGTTTCGTTAAGGACATTTATCAAGTAAATGAATTTGGCAAAATGCTTTACTGCTATTTGTAATACGTGAGCAGCGTACCTGTCTTTGCCCATGTATTCAGTAGAGATTTAGACAGCGAAGCGCGTTGTTGCCGGTGGCCACTGTGCCCAGAAATTCAGAATTGTTTTGAAAACAAGAAGTAAGTTTGAAATGCAGGAAACCTTAAGAAATGAACGTTCAATTTGGAAGAAATGTTTTGCTGAGTGTTTAATTTACACATGTTTTAAAGGCTGCGCACTCATGCCAGCGTCATCAGTGAGTAATTTCTAAACATCTTTCACTTGGCCCATTTTATTTGTGTGTGTTTACAGTAAAGTGCGTAACTGAAAGAGCTGTTGGTAATGTTAAATACTCTTTTTCCACATTTGCACATAGGCCAATTGAGACGAATTGGAGTCTCTGTGTGTTTCGCTTGTTTGTTTATCTGCCTCAGCCAAAACTAGTTTTTTCTTATCTTCCCAATTAGAGGCAATCAATTGGGCATTGACTTGCGAGTGAGAGCTTTAGCGGTTAAAAAACGCGGGCATTTCATTAAGCAGCCTACAAGCACACATACATATGTACATACTTACATTTACATGACGGCGCTTTTTGAATTGTTTTCTTTTAAATAGTCCGGTGATAATAAACGTGTTTTGTGTCCGAAAAGGCTTCTTGACGTGGCATTTCCTTAGAGCTCCAATCTAAAAATTGTGACAGCTTTTGAGAATTCTTATGCATTTATCTTTTTAATTGCCTGTGAACTTGTTTTTATTTTATTTTAAACTGCAAAAACAAGTTTTAAAGCTCACGAGTAAAGATATATTATTATTAGCTGTTACCTATTTTCCATTGCTATAAAAGTTTAATTTTATTTTAATTTTTACAAATATTTAATAAAAAACATAGCTAACTAGAAATAGCCAACTGGAAATTGAGTTTTTATTTGTAAAATATATTTTTGTCTAGAAATCTTTAGACATCTGTATGTATGTATTTCAGGTTGTTTATTTGATATAATCAAAATTCAAGTATGCTTTCAGTGATTAAAAAAATATTTCTAATGAAATTAATAATTCTATTTTATATCATAAATATTAAAAAATAGTATTAAGAAATGCAAATTTAAGTTTATGAATAACAAAAAATTAATGATTAATAAAAATTAATTATATAATTGTAATAACGGTAAAATAATAAAGAAATATAAGTTTACCCATAGCTTACATTAAAATTAATAACGTGATTTTAGACGTAATACATTAAAATATATACAATGCCTAAATTATAATAAATAAAGAAACAATTAAAATGTGAATAATTGAATATGTTATAAAAAAATAAAGTTAATTTTTTTTCGCGCAATAGTTTGGTAATCTTTAGCGAATGCTTTCGATAAATATTTATGTTAGTGTATATAAAGTTCTTATCGCGCCTATTTCGTATCTGATTATGAATGCAAATAGTTTCATAATATAACAAGGCCGACTCAATAAGTATGCCAAAGCTCTTAATATAAACTTGAATCAACAGTAAATGTAGAATTTCGTCTATGATTAGGGTATATGTAGTATTTATTATGAGATAGGATTGAAAGACTCAAATTAAAATTCAATTGAATTGCGCCCATTTGTTTATATATTTATTTTATTTACATATGCCGTATATGCCGTATGTATGTAGTTTAGTGATCACGTTTTGTTGTGTCGCACTCTTATTAAGTAAATTGTATCAAATCGTGCGACATAAATAATTTCTGCACGCGATCGACGACTGCGTTGAAATTTCGTCAGTCGTCGAGCAACTGTCGAGGCATTCTGATCGCTCTGTCAATTGGCTATCAATTTTGTTCGTATAAAATAAACAAAATTTAACAATTGGTATCTTGTTCTGAAGTTGTGTAACGTGTTTATCTTTCCAAAGCTACATTTGTGCAAACATTTATGTATGTCTTTTCATATTTGGAAAAAGGGAGAATCGTTTCTTATGAAATATATGTGAAAGTTGCAGCTCGTTTTAAGTACGATGCTTCAAATAGTATTGAAAATTAAAATATTTATTACTTTCTGTATTTAAATGATAGTTTAGTTAAATTGAAGAGAATAGCATAGAAAGCTATGGTGCATGAAGAACGAAAGAAAGAGAGAGATAAAAATAGAAATAAAGGGAGGTAGACAGAGACAAAGACATACTGAGAGTGAGAGATCTAGTTAGATGGAGGGAGCTATAGGTAGGTAAAGGTATATGTAGATGTATAGAGAGATAGAGACAGAGAAAGCTATGTAGATATTTGGAGAGAGAGAGAGAGAGAGAGAGAGAGAGAGAGAGAGAGAGAGAGAGAGAGAGAGAGAGAGAGAGAGAGGGAGAGAAAGAGAGGGAGAGAGAGTGAGTGAAAAAAAAAACAGTTAGTACATATTCCCACTCTCATGTCACTGGCCAATTGGGACTCACATTAAAATAAATTTGAACTCTGCAGCTTGTTAAAAAAATCCCCACTTTATTTATACCTAATCTGATTATATACAGTTGTGTTCGTTCTATCCTAGAACTAGTTCATGTTACATTGATTCAGAGAATTCCGTAATCTAAACAATTGTCTGCAATATGTATGATGTGCACAGACGGGAAAGACTATACTATATATATATCAATTATAAAGCGTTGTATAGAATTGCAGAGAAGGGCAATAGAGATCGAACTATTGAATAATTGAATAATTGATTTATGGCATTTAGGAGTGTGTAGAAGTATTACAAATAGCGCCTAATACTACAAATGTGTTTATATGATCTCTGATCAATAAAATAAGAATTGATAAATATATGTATAAACAATTCTAAACAATTCTTCTAAAATTCTTACAGATACAGATAGCTCAAGATGCCTATGAAGAGCTTGAGTGTTTTGCTGCCTGGCCTAAAATGGTTGCAAGGATATACGGCGCAGGATGCGGTGGCTGATCTGATAGCGGGCATTACGGTGGGCCTGACGGTGCTGCCACAGGGCTTGGCCTATGCCACGCTGGCCGGCCTGGAGCCGCAGTATGGCCTCTACTCCGCATTTGTGGGCGGCATAGTGTACGCATTGCTGGGCAGTTGTCGCCAGGTGACGATTGGACCGACAGCATTGTTGGCTCTCATGACCAGCCGGCACACGGGCTTTGGCCTGGACTCGGGTCCAGCCTATGGAATACTATTGTGCCTAATCTCAGGCATTGTGGAGCTGGCAATGGCTGTGCTCAAACTGGGCGCCCTGGTGGACCTCATTTCGTTGCCCGTTACAGTGGGCTTCACGTCGGCAACGGCCGTCATTATAGGCACCTCGCAGCTGAAGGGTTTGTTGGGTTTGCGTGGCGGCTCTGGGTCGGATTTTTTGAATACCATGCGCTCTGTTTTCGGCAATCTGCACCAGGTGCGTTATGGAGATCTGACATTGGGACTGGTCTCCATATTTGTGCTCCTGCTGCTGCGAGTGAGTTGTCTATGGAGTCCTTTCCTGAGCTCTAACTGAAACGTTTATCTTACAGAGATTAAAGAATGTCAAGCTGGCAAATCGCGTGGGCAACTTGCGGGCTCAGCAGCTACTCAGCGGCAGCATTTGGGTCATATGCACCGGACGCAATGCACTCGTAGTGCTTATGTCTAGTGTGCTGGCTTATAGCCAGTGCGGTGAGCAGACGGACTGTCCATTCATACTCACGGGCAAGGTGAAGAGTGGCTTGCCGAGCTTGGCGCTGCCCAAGTTCGAGACAACAATTATTGGCCAGAATGGCACCGAGGAGCATCAGAATTTTGAGGATATGGTGAGTTCAGCAGTCGCTGCGTTTATGTAATGATTATGAATATATTTCGTCTATTTTGCAGCTTTCGGAACTGGGACCCTCCATGCTGATCCTGCCCATAATTGCTGTGCTTGGCAACGTGGCCATTTCGAAAGCTTTTGGCGGCGTCGGATTGAGTCCGACGCGCGAGCTGGTCGCCCTCTCGCTGAGCAACATTTGTGGCTCCTTTTGCAGCTCGATGCCAGTCACCGGGTCCTTCTCGCGCAGCGCTGTCAATCATGCGAGTGGAGTGCGTACGCCCATCGGGGGCTGCTATACGAGTTTGCTGGTGCTGCTGGCTCTGGGTCTGCTTGCTCCCTACTTCCAGTACATACCCAAGGCGGCGTTGAGTGCTGTCATCATTTCGGCTGTGATATTTATGATTGAGTTTGAGGTCATTCGGCCGCTGTGGCGGTGCAGTCGGCGTGAATTGCTGCCGGGCGCAATCACCTTTGTCATGAGCTTGGCAATAGGCGTGGAGATTGGTCTGCTGCTGGGTGTTGGCGCCGATGTCGCTTTCCTCGTTTATCGGGCAGCCAGACCAGTTCTGACCGTCTCCAAATTGCAGACTATCAATGGCATTAGCTACATTCTGATACGGCCCAAGCACAGTTCGCTGTATTTTCCGGCCATCGAATGGGTGCGCAATGGCATCTCAAAGGCGCTCTCCACGCACGGCACAGCGCCCGTTGTCCTGGACTGCGCGCAGGTGCATGGTATGTATGATAAGAATATCGGATTGGTACATACTTTTCACTGTATTTCTTCAATATTTCGATCTTAGATTTCGATTTCACAGCCGCTCGCGGCATGGGTAATCTGCACAAGGAGCTGGCCAAGGCGAATGTGCCGTTGTTTCTAATGGGCGCAGACAAGAATATTGGCGTCATACTGAAAGAG